GTTCCAAAGAGTCGACAAAATTGAGTGCCAAAAACCAAGTGCGTCTACGTCAAGTCAACCAGACTCACCTTCGTACCCAGCTCTAAAGACTCGAGCTCGACCCTCAATATGCCAACCAAAGAGCGAGAAACGCCTCCACCAACTCCCAACCCAGAAAAACTAGAACGATCACCGACACCACCAGCCATCGAGCGAACAGCACCATTCCTCCAACCAGCATCACCACCCGTCCGCCCAACATCAACAGAGCAACCCACCTGGGCCGGATCCTGCACCCTCCGCCTCGAAAACCTCGAAGCCCAAACCTCCAAAACAAAAAAAGAGCTAATGCGCTCAATCGCCCAAGACATCTGCGCAACATTCACGTGCATAGCCAAGCACGCGGAAGCAGGAAACCTAGAAGACCAACACACAGATGTAATCGACAACGTGATCAAGATGATCCGCGATACAGACGTGAAATCACGACACCGACTGGAGAAACGGGGACGCCGCTTGCGGAAGGAGCGAGATTGGCTACGGATGAAACATCGCAAGATGGGTCGGGAGATTGATGAGTTCTCGTTGTTGTATCGCAAGAAAGTGCGGGATTTGATAGTTGCGTTGCGGGAGCAAAATCACGAGGTGGAACAGTTACGGGCGGAGAGGGAGTTGTTGCTGGCGAAGATACATGAGGATAGTGCTCTCGCTAGTGATGCTGTTGATAAGGAGACTGATGTTGATGGAGAGTTTGAGATTGATACGGAGAAGGTGTGAGTTCTTTGTTGCGGTGTGTTTCGTTTGACCCGAGGTATTTGGATTGTTTCGTCTGGGGAATCCCCGGATTTCTGTGATATCAGAATTGTATCAACAATCACAATCATATTCTCTGCATATTGTATCAATCCAGTTAGTCCCAAATCTTGTAAGCAGTATACCTCTGATCTGCGAGTTAGTCCATGTAGATGATATCACACTGTGAATGTCCGTCGGAATTCGAGTTCCGAAGTATCCAGCTCGCGCGCGGCATTGCATTTGATAGGCAAACGCCTGAACCCGAGCGTGGATTTAAAAGGCCCGGCCCCTGTGATTCATTCCGAGGCCGAGCGAGCACCGGTGGTCCGTATAGTATCTCTGAAGCGAATCCACCCGAAATCAGTAGAAAATCAGTGGTTGATTGACTGTTGCCGTCGACCGAAGGGACCTCGGCTGCTTTGAAAAGGCGCAAATTGATTCGGCCCGCTGGATCCACCGTCACTCCGCGCATGTGGACGAGTCCTGGAGAAGACCCTTTTCTCTTCCAATTTTCCTGGACACTCTCCAGATTCTCTTAGCATTCTCTTTCTCTTGCGAAAAATCATTTGAAACAACTTCATCCTCGTGTTGTTCCCGATCCAAACTTTTCAAGAAATCTACCCCGGACAGTGCTCTCGGCCGAGAATGACCACCCACGACTATGAGGCAGTCCGCAAGGATATCGCCGCCCAGTTAAAGAAGCCCGGTTATGATGATGGCAGTGCAGGACCCGTGTTCGTGCGGTTGGCATGGTATGTAAACACCGGGACAGTTTTGCTTTCCCCGGTCGGGATCCCGGAGCGACAGCCGAACCCACCCAGCGCAACGGCTAACCCGATCCTCCCAGGCACTCCTCCGGCACATACGATCTCGAGTCGGACACTGGCGGCTCGAATGGCGCGGGCATGCGATACGAAGCTGAAGGAGGCGACCCATCGAACGCAGGTCTGCAACACGGACGGGCATTCCTAGAGCCGGTCAAAGAGAAGCACCCGTGGATCACCTACTCAGATCTGTGGACACTAGCCGGCGTAGTGGCAATCAAGGAGATGGGCGGACCAGAAATCGAATGGCACGGTGGACGGACAGACCTGGTAGACGACTCAAAGGTGCCACCACGAGGCCGGCTACCAGACGGCGCACAGGGCGCCGACCACCTGCGGTTCATCTTCTACCGCATGGGTTTCAACGACCAGGAGATCGTAGCGTTAACCGGCGGACACAACTTGGGCCGATGCCACGGCGACCGCAGCGGATTCGAAGGACCGTGGGTGACGAACCCGACGCGGTTCTCGAACTCGTTCTTCAAGTTGCTGCTGCAGCTTGACTGGAAGCCTCGCAAGCTGGCGACCGGCATGACGCAGTTTGTGTACGAGGATCCTGATGCTGAGGAAGACGAGGAGCCGTTGATGATGCTGCCGACTGATATGGCACTGTCGACGGATCCGTCGTTTGCGCCGTGGGTGAAGAAGTACGCCGATGATAAGGACCTCTTCTTTGATCACTTTGCCAAGGCGTTTGCGAAGCTCGTTGAGCTTGGTATCCAGCGGGATGCTCAGGGTGTTGTTACCAACAGTGACAACCGTCTTGGTGGATATGTCTCTGCGCCGAAGAAGAGCAACACTGCCACGGGCCCGCCTAGAGCGCGTCTGTAGATTCCTTTTGTTTTGGATGATTTCCCCACTGCGTTAGATCTGGATATAGCCTGGATGTGTAAATAGATAATAGAAGTTTATAAAGATATCTGACCCTATGAATGAATGTGGATTAAAGTCAATCATCCTAGAGTATTTGAAACAGATGGAATGAGGATGCTTTCAGAGGTTGAAAGGAGAAGAAGAGAAAGGAGAGTCCGGGGTATTGCGGGGGGGGGAACTCGCACAGACGACCGAACAGTTAAGTTAGGTAACATCGTAACATCGAAACATCGAAACATTTGCCGAGTTATACAACTTCATGTGTGGATATGTTTAATAAGAGGCCTCTGATTGGCAGAGACCCCTGTTGACTAGTATACTCCCTGTTTTTGTTATTTTCAGCTCTTTTTACTTGTGAATATAGTGTTGGTAAGCATATAATATGAATCACATAAACAATTCTAACCTAAATAATATGTAGCACTTAGTCCAAAGTCCGCCAAATGCACTGCATCCTTGTATAATAAACATCTTAACATTAGCCTGCTCCTCAACCCCTCTACTTTTTACCTCTCCTAGGAGGCTGAACCCTCTTCGGCTCTGAATCCTCTCCAGAATCCTTCTTCGTCATTTTCTTCGCGTTCTTCGGAGAATTTGGAGCCTTCTTGGGGCTAGCTTTCTTGGGGCTCTCAGTACCAAGTCTCTTAACAGAACGAGTTTGACGACGTGGCGTTAACTGCACCTCAAACTCCGCATCGGACACCTCCGGTGTGACCGCAGGAGCTTGTTTACGACGGGCTTGACGACCCTTTCTTGGATGCGGCATCCGAGTGCCACCAGCCGACTCATCGAAATCGACATCCATCATCATATCATCATTATCTGCATCTCTCGAAACGGTAACATTCCTTCTCCGAGACGGAGGCTGGGGGTTCTCAGCTAGCCCGGGGAAGTCCAAAGCGCCCTCCTCGGCAGGTTGACCATGGGGCCAAAGGGTCGTCATCTCAGCAAACCAGTTCGGGTCCTGCTGTGCGAAGTCAAGTGCGCCATGATACATGTCGAACCCGTCCTCGCTCGGGGTCACAGTTGTGGGAGGAGAGAATAAAGCTGCATCTGGCACCGGCTCCCGATATGAGAGCCAGTTGAAGGCCGGATAGCTTGAGGTAGGTGGCGGGGCGGTGCTGGCTAATAGCGCTGGGTCGATTAATGTCCAGTCGATGACATTCGGATCAAGGAGTGCTGGGTTGAGAGCCGCCCGGTTAGCACTGCTAGGGGTCAAAGGAGCGCCAACAGGTGGAGAAACAGATAAGACGGATGTCTGAATTGGTGGACTGGGGGCTTGTCCAGGAAGAAGTTGCTCGTCGTAGCCAGTGAACGGTGGGAAGGCAGTGAAGGGCTGGGCTAGACCGGGCAGGACGCGATTCCAGGGCTCCTTTTGGATTTGGGGAGAGAATGGAGCCCAAGGGTTGTGGTTCTGGAGAATTTCTTTATCCTGCGATCTCAACAGGGTCATATCCTGCACGGTCTGGAGAGCTGCTGCCAGGACATCCTTTGCAGGGTTCATGATCCGTTCATAGAACACCAGTGGAATAGCACCACCGGTGCACCACTCGATGGGGACTCGATTATTATTGTTATAGCATGGAATTCCACCGACAAACAAGCCATGATTCAGCTGGCTGTCGTACATGCAAATGTTTCCTGTGTCGTATTCACCACGCTTCGTATCTGTCCAGTAGACACGAGCATGTCCTTGGTGGATATAGACGCCACCAAGCCAACGGTACCTTGCTCTCTGGACGTTGTCGCCATAGTCAATATACTGGAAGTCAATATCTTTGGTGTGATCAAGAATCTTTGACCTTCCATCAAAGGTCATGGTCAAGCGTAGTGGAAGCTGACCGACCTTTCTCTCGCTCCGAATATTGACTCCACCACAAGCTATACACTTACTTTCCTTCCTGGCATAGAAGCATCGCTCAAGCAACTGAGGCACCGCGATCCCCTTTTCATCGCCCTTGATATAGGCAGGCATCACGCAGGAACCTTGGTGGGACATGACAAACGCTTTTGTACGTGTACATCTGCAGGGCACTATTCGCTCAGCGTAAAAAAACCGAAATTGAGCAAAGCTCTTGGTGCTCTCTGCCCAAACAGCCCATGGGGGAACAGGTTGTCCCATTTTCATGCTTGGATAAGTATCACAGACCTTCTGGAAGAACATATCGCGCTGGGCGCGAGAATTGTGTTCATCCAAGACATCCCAGGCCACGTTGATAGTTTCCACAAAAGCTTTCTCAATGTCTTTGAAATCTGCCTGTCGGTTATTGTAACGGTCGATCTTGGTGCAGCCAGCATCAATCAAAATGCCCGCTGCAATGACGGCATCAATGGAACAGGAATTCCCATTCCAGATGGGACCGCGGCCACGCAGAGGATAAACGAGGCCATTTTCATCCCATGTAAAGGTCACAGGATCCAACCTTACGTTGGCTATATTATTGAAGGTCCCAAGCTGGGTGTTAAACAGATCGTTAAGCGAGCGAGCAGTCAATTGCGGAGTAGGCACGGTGCGAGTTGGGGCACTGGGATCGCGCTCCAGGTCATTGTATGCAATCTTCATAAGGGCCTTTTCAATGATCTCTGTGACATTTCTAGGATCATAGGCAGATGAAAGGGCCGTGTCAACTAGCTTGTTGATTTGCTGATAGCCAACAGGGGCTGTTGTGAAGAGTGGACTGTGGCTAGGGTCCGCATAGATTGGGTCATCGTATTCGCGGATGCGGGCAGCATAGATAGGATCAAAGCTACCGGGGCCTATAGGTTTCGGGCCCGTGTAAGCAGGAGCGCCGGGCGAAAGAACTCGTCGTCGCTTGTTTGGGCCTCCGAGCGGCGTTAGGTTTCGTTTATCAAGTCCTGGAGACTGCTGTAAGTCCCAGGGCTCGAAGATCGGTGACGAGGATGGCTGTAAATACTCCTGAATCCTTTCGCCTACCTCTTGGTCCGACACTGGTCCGGGGCGTACCGTTATGAGCCGGGGTATTGATTGAGGTGGCTCTACATAAGTGTCGGCTGAGAAGAGAAATTGCTGCAGATAACCATCTGATGTCTCGGGCTTCGCATCGGAAGGACGCTGGTACCCGGGAAGGATAGCTACATCAATCTCGGGAAGGGTCCGATACCATCGGCTGACAGGCGTAGGGCGTGGTTCAAGATTGTATTTCATTAGTCGAGGGCCACTGTCTCGGTTGAAGTTAAACAATTCCATCCAGCTCTTTGGACGATGCTGCTCTTGCATGTAATAGAACAACTTCCACAACATTTTCTTGAGATCGATAATATTTCGTCTCTTTCTGGTGTAATGAGCAGTGACGAGCTGCTTCTCGTAATGAATTCCCCAAAAGTAATGTTTCATCACTACATCAATCTGTCCGACCCCGATCTCGCGCCCTTTCGACTGGCTCAGCGTACTCAGAGTTCTCGTCAGAAACTTCCAATCTTCAGGTGGATCTTCAAGAGCCATCAAGTCATATAGTTCACTAGGCTCAGGTGGATGCTCAAGGTCGTCCGGGTGGCGCGGAAAGGGGAGATTAGGAGACTCCGCCATGATGAACGAAGACGGTATATGTGAGATATGGCGTATGAAACAGGAACAAGAGAATAGTATTAGAATGCTGAGATATCGAGCATTAGTTCAAATCGTCGAAAAAAGCAATCGAAGGCCATTTCAAGCAGTGCGAGCTGGGCTCTTTAATGAACAACGAAAGTTCTCGTTGTCCAAAGACCAGGGTCAATGCCGTCCCCACTAGTAAGACGAGTAATGCATTGAACATAGTAAGCGGGTGAAAGAACACTCGAGCTCAATTTTTCGAGTCCATGGTAGTATTCTGTTAATCAAAGAGCAGAGCTGGAGACCAAGGCTTCGTGCTCCAGATTCAGTAGGGCAGCAGCGGCATGATCCAAGTTGTTTCTATAATTGTCGAGAGGTTAGGCCTCGCGGCCGACCTAAGGAATATCAAAGAAGTCGTCGACTAAAAATATACCTCAGCATCCAATCTTTAAGGGCGAAGTTACGCCATGTGAACAAAGGATATCGCATATTGACGGGAAAGTCACGCCTCAAGTGACCGTCAGAAAGGTTGAGACATCCGATCCAAGTGAGCGGAGACACAGTAGCCATACTCCTAAGAGGGTAAGTAGGGGTAAGCAGGTAAAAGGTTGCCTTATTAGCCATGAGGAGGCCCTGAGATGAACAGATCGCGCTTGAGCGCGGTCACAAAAGAGTCTCGAGTCGCAATGCCCCAAAAGGTATGGCTCTGGATGGAGACTCGATGGAACCAGCTCAAAGTATTCGAGTCAAAGAGTTGACAGCAGCTGCTAATTCCCCTTTCGATTCAAAGAAATAGACTTATAGTGGCTGAAGACATCCAGGAACCAAAGGAAGTAAGTCCAGGAACAACAAAGATATCAGGGCTAGTGGTAAGATACATGTAATTAGCGAGGCTTATTACAGTAATATAACCACATACAGACAGAGGTCAGCTGACTTCACCTGATCTGCGCGCTAACCTATCCTGGCCTAGTGGTTCACAAGCGAGCCCTCATCCCAAACAGGTTAGTGCGTTAATTACCCGATCCCACAAGCAAAGTCACTCAGTTGGACTTCCTCCTCTCCATCCCTCTGTCGACAACCCATCGCGATACTCGCCCATCGCCCACCATGTGTACGTGAACACCCCTTCTTTCAGTCTGAAAGCCCTCTATGATACAACACAACGATTGCGCAAAGAAAAAGCGATGGAAAAAGACGACGGTTCTGGAAATTGAAGGCTAACGTGCACTTCGATAACAGCGCTCGTGTCCGGCGAGAAGACGAACTTCCAGTTCATCTTGCGTCTGCTCAACACCAATGTTGACGGCAAGCAGAAGATCATGTACGCTCTGACCCAGATCAAGGGTGTCGGTCGCCGTTACTCCAACCTGGTCTGCAAGAAGGCCGATGTCGACCTCACCAAGCGGTACGTTCGAATCACCCACACACCCCTCATCGAAAATTGAATCATTCCCACATGGAGGAGAGGCATGAAAGGAAAGGCATTGGAATAAACCACAAATCGACATGGAACGGGAATCACGCACAATTCCACAAGAACCAAACTGACAAGGATCCTATCTACAGTGCTGGTGAGCTCACCACCGAAGAGCTCGAGCGTATCGTCACCATCCTCCAGACCCCGACCCAGTACAAGATCCCCTCGTGGTTCCTTAACAGACAGCGCGACATCACCGACGGCAAGGACACCCAGGTTGTTTCCAACTCCCTGGACAGCAAGATCCGTGAGGATCTCGAGCGCCTGAAGAAGATCCGCTCCCACCGTGGTCTCCGTCACTACTGGGGCCTCCGTGTCCGTGGTCAACACACCAAGACCACTGGCCGCCGCGGTCGCACCGTCGGTGTCAGCAAGAAGAAGGGCTAAACAATTCGTGTCGTTTTTTTGCCGGGGGTTCTTGGAGGGATTCCGTTATTTCCGGTGTGTTTCTATGGGCATCCGTGGGACCTTTTTCCCCGCTGGGCTGGGTATCGACCCTGGTTCAAAAAATTGAAAATGAATCATACCAATGAAATGAACCGATCTCTTCTTACAAGTAATGCACGCATGGCTTGGGGATTGTCGACAACTCGATCTTGTCTGGTCCTCTGCCTTGTAGAGTAGCCATCTAGACTGCTATGTCTGTGGGGTAGCCCTCCACTGCGGGCCATACTGATGTCTCCATCACATCGTGTTTGCTCTCAGTAAACCCCACCTCCTTAGTATACACGGCCGAGACCTCAACCATGTTGGGCTGTGTTTGTCAAGAGAGGAAGATTGACGTTCTTTGAACACGCTGGGACTCTCATCCTTTGTGAACCTCCTATCTCTTCATAGTCTTGTCGTGCTACGACTTGACAGAGGGTTTGGAGTGACATCTCTTAGTTACGTTTTTATAATTGAGAATGCAACCTGCACCTTACATACCTTACTTGCTATCTTTTGTCTATGTTATTCAAGTCTATCAAAATTGATTGAATTCAAAGTTGCCCAGACGTATATACTAAACAGCAAGCCACCGAATCAGGAAGCAAATGAAAAAATCGGTTCGCAACCTTAGATCAGGTGTCAAATTGTATGCAAACAAACAGTAAGATCAATAGCATTCGGTGTAACGATAAATCATCGACGCCTTGTAAAAGCAATTAGGTCGAGCATCTAGTACCACTCACCACCAATCCAGCGGTTGAAGAACTCCAGACCAGCCTCGGGCTGATCCATGGGAACCATGTGGCCAGCGCCAAAGATACGGGTGAAGGTAAAGTTGCCGTGGGTCTTGATCTGGCCGATCTTCTTGCCAACGTGCTCGTTCTGCACGATCTTGAGATCCTCAAGCTCAGCAGCGGCGAACTCCTTCTGGCCTGGCCACTCAAGAGCCTCGGACCAGGCCTTGTTGCCGAGCCAGTTGCAGATGAAGTCGGCATCACCGGCATAAATCAGAACGGGGATCTGCTCAAGGATTCCGGGGACGAGGCGGTGGTAAGGCTTGAACCAGTCACCGGCGAAGAGGAAGTTACGGTTGATGTCGAAGTTGCAGGAGTCGTAACCGTCAACCTCAGCACCGACAGCGTCGCGGACGCTCTGCTGACCGAGATACTCGCTGACGTAGCCCATACCCTTGTAGCAGAGGTTGCTCTCATCCTCGCACTTGCCGCGAATGTCATAGACGTTCTGGCCGGTGCGCTGGTAAGGTGCGAGCATGGCGTTGTTACAGTAGATGGAGGCAGGAACGCAAACCCAGGGGCTCTCGCTGTTGTAGCAAGACTCAATCATGCTCTGGCAGCGGCCCAGAGCGTTGTCCATGGACTGGCAGGTGCTCTCGTCGAGAACAGCGGGGTAACCACCCTCACCACAAGCCATGGGACGGTAGTACTCGTACTGGGTCAGGCCATCGGTGAGACCATTGCCAATGAGAACAGACTTGAGGTTGATGTTGCGCTTCTTGTGAGCGAGAATCTCGGAAGCCATGACGGGGATGTAGTGACCAGCGTAGGACTCGCCAGCAATGTGGAAGTCCTGCTTAGCGTACTCGGGGAACTGCTTGAAGAACAGGGTCAAGAGAGCGTAGACATCCTTGCCAGCAGCAACGGTGTCGCTGACGGAGGAGCCACTGTAAGAGTAGCCGACGTTGATTGGCTGGTCGAGGAAGATAACAGAGGCATTGTTGTTCCACGAGAAGTCATTGTAGATAGGCTTGATGTTCTCGCCAATGGAGCTGGGTCCAAGTTCCAAGAACAGTCCGGTGAGGGACGAGCAACCGGGACCGCCGTTCAGCCAGAGGACGACGGGGTCATTTGCAGGGTCGTTGCGAGACTCAAAGAACCCTTTTAGAGGTTAGACAGTTGCGGACCCTAAGAAGGCATTGTCAAACTTACAGTAAAACAGGTGCTTGTCCTCCTCGTTGTCATCCAGATAACCACTGTACTGCTTGACGCCAGGGTCAATGCCGAGAGCACTAGGGTCAACCTTCTTAACGCGGAGGTCATAGGCCTCTAGTCTGCCATCAATCTCACGCTCCTTGGTGCCATCGGTACCAGATACCCAGAGGTCCTGAACGTCGGCGCCACTGACGTGATGATCCCAGTGGGAAGCAGGACGGCGGGTGTGCTTCTTAGGCAAGGACAGAATGGGAGCGCCGTTCATGGACTCCGGGAAGAAGTTAGAGACTTCCTCCCACATCTTGCGAGCCTCGCCAGAGAGAGTCTTGAACTGCTCCTGGAGGTGCTCAAGTGGCTTGGAGACTACATTGGCACCCTGCTGGGCAACGTTCTCCGCATACTCCTTGTGAGCTCCAAGGACTTGCTGCAGGCCTGGGGCAGCCGCAGAAGCGGCTCCCACCAGAAGAGTGGTGGACAGGATTCTCATTGCAAACTGTATTTATGATTCACAGAAGAATGATGGTAATAATGGGTGGGCTAATGGAAAGCGGGTACCTCGGGGTCTGGGGTCAGGCAGATCTTATCAGTAACCGCTCGTATGTGTAGCTCTAAGAGATGGCGAGAAACAAAGGAACACCACTCACGCTTGGGGACACACTGAGGATGATCGAGACGAGATTTAGGGATACAAGACAGGGCCCTGCAGTGAGGAGAAGAAGAGCAGGGAATCCCCGATGACGCCAGGAGATAAGCAGGTCCCTGGACTGACTCAGCCAGTCACGGGAGGGGTAGCGGGCTAAGCCTTTTTCGGAAAATTCTTTCCGATCGTCAGCTTGTACACATTCCACGTCCTGGAAACAGTGTGTTTTTGCGCATCCTCAAGTTCTTTGTTCGTATTTGGGATAGCCAACCCTACGCGGCTAAACGTCCCTCAAAATGCCTATCAACCAACCCTCCAACCAGATTAAATTCACCAACGTTTCGGTGGTGCGCCTAAAAAAGGGTAAGGTTCGGTGAACCACATCACTTGATCCAGCTAAACCTTCTCTCAATATAGGCAAGAAGCGCTTCGAACTCGCCTGCTACAAGAACAAACTACTTGAATACCGATCAGGTGCTGAAAAAGACCTCGATAATGTCCTCCAAGTCCCCACCGTCTTCCTCTCCGTCTCCAAAGCACAAACTGCCCCGTCAGCAGAACTAGCAAAGTCCTTTGGAGCAGGCACACCTCGGGAGGAAATCCTCCAAGAAATCCTCCGCAAGGGTGAAGTGCAAGTCGGCGAGCGCGAACGCAAAGATATTCTCGAAAGAGTAGAGAAAGAAGTCCTGGACATCGTCTCAGGTCGCCTAGTCGACCCCACTACAAAGCGCGTGTACACATCAGGCATGATCCACAAGGCGTTGGACCAACTAAGCTCAGCCAGCGGGCAGCAAGGACAACAAGCCGGAGAAGCGAACGGGAACAGCGAGGAGAAGGCAGCTCAGCCGAAGAAGCCGATGTGGACAGGAGTTTCGTCGAACCGATCAGCTAAGAGTCAAGCGCTGGATGCTATGAAGGCTCTAATCGCTTGGCAGCCCATTCCTGTCATGCGGGCTCGTATGCGTCTCCGTGTGACATGCCCTGTGTCACTATTGAAGCAATCTGTCAAGGCTGCTCCTGGGGCTACCCCAGCCAAAGAGAAGGAGGCACCCTCTGGTGGCTCTAAGAATAAGAAGGGAAACAAGGGATCGAAGAAGGGAAAGCGTGGTGATGACTCGGATATCGAGGCTGGGTCTGATGCCGAGGCTGCGCCTAAAGCCCCCGGCACTGTCAAGGATAAGATTATGGCGTTTATCGAGTCGATCGAGTCACAGGAAGTTATTGGTGGAGATGAGTGGGAGATTGTGGGTTTCGCCGAGCCTGGTGCATTCAAGGGCTTGAATGAGTTCGTGGGTAACGAGACTCGTGGAAGAGGCCGGGTTGAGGTTTTGGATATGTCGGTCACACATGAGGATTGAGTGGCTATTGCTCTACGGGGCTGTACATGATTACCGATATGACTGATGATAAAAGTTCAAATGAATAGATTGGCTTTTGCCATTCACTGCCATCCACTCCCTATGAATAGATGCAGCCAAGCCCTACCCTAAGAATGGACTGAAGAAACTTTGCTGGGGAAAAGTAAACCTACATAGCCAAGCCACACATCAAGCCCGTACCTACTGGAAGAGTAATGTAAGTTAGAGCTTTTATCTAAAGAATGAAGAGGGATAAGTAAAGAAATCTGATAAATAACCGAGACTCGACTTGTAGAAGTATAGCAAGCCAAAAAAGTATATGATACAGCGCATGCAGTCAATATAGACAAACAACGAACCCATCGCCATAAATGGAAGATGCAGATATTCACAGAAAAGACAGAAAATCAAATCATGATCGTGACACATAACAAACTCATCAACTGCAAACCGCAAAATCAGACATCCAACCTACGCATGCCGATGTTATCACATCCAGTCACCATCAAAACCACATTCTTACCCGGGCCAAGTTCTCTCGCGAGATCGATAGTCTTGGCCACCGCGTGACTCGAGTCCAGGCCAGAAAGGATACCCTCGTGGTGCTGGAGAGTTTTGAACCCGTCCAGGGCATCCACGTCGGTAGCCGTTGAAATTTCAATCCTGCCCGCGTCCTTCCAATGAGCGACCTCAGGGCCCACAGTGGACAAATTCATGTCTGGCGAGATAGAATGCGAGTCCAGTATCTGGCCCTCATTGGTCTGCAACAAGAGCGTACGTGCACCCTGGAGAACACCAAGCTCACCATCTGTCAGGGCAGCCGCGTGAGCAGCCTCCACACCAATCAACCGAACAGACAGATCATGAAGGAATGGTCTGAAAAGTCCAATTGCACCACTCCCACTTCCAACGGCGGTGACGAGGGCATCCGGCTTACAACCAGCCTCCTGCATCTGGGCCGCGACCTCCTCGCCTAGGAGGGCTTGGAACGTGCGAGCCAGGGTCGGCAGCGGACTAGGACCCACGGGGCTACCCATGAGGTAGTATGCAGACTGATGGTTGCAAACCGAATACCGCAGGGCCTCCGTGATGGCGGCGCGCAGGGAGCCCAAGCCAGAGGGGGCGCTCGCGGTGATAGTCTTAGCGCCGAGCATCTTCATCTGAAGCACGTCCTCATGCTGAGCATTAGCGTCATCTGCACCCATGACAATCACACAGCGCAAACCCAACCGAGTGCACATTGCAGCGGTGAAGGAACCATGTTTGGCCGAGGCGCAATCAGTGACGACCTCGGAGCGGCCCATTCGTCGAGCAAGGAGGAGCTGACCGACGATATTGCGGGCCTTGTGGGTTCCGTAATCGTTCTGGTCTTCGCGCTTTAGCCAGATTGTTGCACCGCCCGCCAAGCTGGTCAACTTGCTCGCCATGTGCAGCTGGGTAGGCCGGGAACGCTGGAACGTGGCATATTCATGCCAGAACGAAGGCTCTGAGATAGTGGCCTCGAAGAACGACGTCAGCTCGTATAGGAAACCCATTATAGATTCTGGAGCAAACCGGCCCCCGTAGGAGCCGTAGCCATCGAATGAAACCTGTGGGGCTTTCAGGGTGCCATCTGGTTGCAGGATTGGAATATACGGTGTGATCAAGTGGGTGGCTGTTGACTTGGCAGGCGTCTTGGACAGGGGAGTATCAGAGGCAATTGAGGCTGTTGTTGCTTTGGTTTCTCCATCTGATGCGTCTGAGGATTCTGTGTGTGTGCTGATGGTGCAGGAACGGGGTATCGAAGCCCTAGGTAATATAGTGGCATCTCTTTGTGTAGAAGGGCTAGCAATTTGCGATTGAGTCGTTTCAGGAGCTTTGATCAAGCGAATGACATTCTTAGTATCTGGGGAATCGGTGGGATCGCATGGTTTAGAGGAAAAGCAAAGAAGACGGCGCAGAGATCGAAGCATGGTGCCCCACGGTATAGATAGAAGCAATTGGTTCGAGGAAGTGTTTGGAAGGAATAGATGCTTTGGAACAATGGATAGATTGTTTGATCGGGAGTGATATTATAGAAGCCATGCATTCATGTGCATAGAAGTTGAAGCAAGTGGACGACAACATGGGACGAGGGATGCATTAAATATGGCGTGAGCGCTTCTACCTCTGCGTAGGCTCACTGGAAGCTCGGCTCTGCTCCTGCGATCATTTCCGGGCTGTGGCTACTCTTACCTAAATGGGTTATCTGCTTGGCTATTGTATTATATGGCTTCGACTTCTTCCCAGGCTTTCCATGTCTCAGCTTCCACCAGTCATACTTTCTTCTTCTTCTAATAGTATGAACAATCTTCTTTGTTACAATCTATCTCCAACACAGCACTATACTCGATACAGAGCTATCATATTCCAAATGTGATCCATAGTAGGAGTCCAGTTCTGGCTCTACGGAGCAATCTATATCGTACACATCATTGCGGAGCTAAATTACACTTACATAGGTAGGAATCATCGTGGTGAGAGTATAGAGGAGGTGGGCATGACAGCTTGCATGTAGAAGCGTGTTGTTTGCTTGGGTGACACGCACTGAAAACTCCAAGCATGAATGCCGATCTTGCCCAGGAACCGAGGGACGTATGTTGTGTCACTCTGCCCATCGACCCAACTCTTGATACCCTCTCATCACCGTTACACCAATACTTCTTTGCCTATTCCATGAAGAATGCAAGGTTATCACCATGGAATCTACTGTTCATCTTTGCTCCGTCATCGGGTGCTCAATCAGTCTCGGAATACCGCACAATTCTATTCATCGGCGACCCTGCTTGAAATGATAGTTCAAGGTGCTCGAGAATCTGTAGAGTGCCTTCGACGTTACATTATAGACTTATCAGCTCGTGCCATTCACTTTGTTCGATATCGCTTTGTCTCAATTCTAGGGCGTAGTTGGTCATGTGACACCGTTCCTTCACGATAGGATGATGTCTATGCGTTCAATTCCTGCATATCTCCTTCATGAATAGGCGCCACATAAGTTCATTGTCGCTCGTGTTCGGTGTGGGATCCTACAGGGGTGGGTCGAGATTGGCGTTAAGCTTCGAGAGGATTCAAACATTAGACCTTTTCACCAATGCTATATTATTTGTTTGGAGAGTTTCTCAGCTTCTATTTCAGGGCGTGGCTGATCCCGAGTTCATATGATTCTTATTCATCCACGAAGGCGACATGATCCATGCATTCCATTCTTTCATGGCCGTTCATGTATACATGCCACGCGGGTCTGTTTATTGACACTTATATACGGAGCGAAGCCCTGATGTAGGAGTTATGCAAGCATATAAAAAGATCGCGGACCATCGGGCCCTCTCATTCTTCCATAAGTTGATATTCCTTGATTTCACATCTAGGGTGCATCGTGTCATGACCAATAATGTGTGTCCCTTTTGAGCATTCAACAGCTTGTTTGAAGTTTATTAAGCTTGATCCATTTATTGAGGCAGATCTTAAGGCATAAAAACCCACAGCATCCAGAATAGATACATTGATGCAGTTGCTTTTGTTGCTTGGATTCGGCTACGAACAGCTGGGATATATGGACCACCAGCAGGCAATACACTGCATATAATCCATTCCAACCGGATAATTGACAGGAGACTACAGTACGATCAAAAACCACACAGTCAAGCCACCCAGATTGCACTAGAGCCCAAGTCAGTAAGAGCAAAGACCACAAGACTACTCGATGACTGCAATTAGCCGATACATTGATTGCAAGGCACATCCAAATGCAAGCACAATTCAAAACAAGACCTAAAGCAAAGCAACACACGCACAAGTCAAACTCGAGATATTGTAAGACAGATGACTTAAAGGAAAAGCCGCCCAAGTTCATTTCCCATTGTAATTTATATACAAACAACCTCCCCACCCCCACTCTCCCCCCGGCCTGGCCAAAACCCCAACCTCCATTACAAAGTTATCTAAACTCAACACAAAAGCGTCATTCCCGCGCTCAAAACAAGAAACCAGCCACACAAAAGTCTGTTAGCAGGGATAGACAAGTCGATCGAGAAATTCATTACTTGGTTAGTGAATGCCCAGACTGATATGCTTTCATAGTGCGGGGGAGAAAGCTTGGCTTTGGCGGGGTTGGGGGGGGGGGTCGACTCTTCTCGAAGGCTGAAAATCGAGTCTAGATCTAGATGATCTAGAGCGAAGTCTGATTTTGAGTTATACTTTATATTTGCATTGGCATGCGGAAACCGGGAAATGCCGGAAGTGTATATAGTACAGGTCTATATCATTCTTTTATATCTAAGCGACCTTCTATTTTGGAGACATTGCAGACGTGAATGGGAGGAAATTCATGGAAAGACGAAGATCAGATCAGGCTGATACAGATCAAACCCCAAAATCAATTAAACCATAAAACGGGTATACGCTCATATGCAAATGCATGACAGGGAAAGGGGTCCCCGACCGAGTGGATCCTCGCTCTCCGCGAGAAGACACCAGCCAGGGACAAAAGTGAGACAGCGTGCCGGTACGCTGTCCCAGTGTAAGTCGAATGGATATCCGACCGGTGATCCTTGGATCAAAGGTATGAAAAGGGAGGTAAAAAAGGAGACATCAAGTCGGAAGAAAGGGATCAAAAAAGGAACAATCTCCAGGACAGGAAGAAAGTAGGATGATACAAAAAGGGATGGCGTCTATAGTGTCTATACTATAGACGCCAGGGTGAAGTCTACGCGCAGACCTGGACGGCGATCAAGGCGCGGGTAAGGTCCTCAGGAGCGAAAGGGAGTTTCTGCTTCCGGGGCGACATAATGCACGGGGAGAGAGCAGGCGATATGGCGCGGACGAGGGGGGAAGTATAGCGGATGGATTCCTTTTGGGCTTTGGGATCCTTGAGATCCTCGGAGATCTCGTAGATGGAGGTCTCGTTGAGGAGGGTCATCATTGAGCCGCTGTAACTTGAGGGGTTGATAATAGTTGAGGACTGGGAGCCTGAGTCGATTGCACGGGGCGATGATTCTGGGGCATCTGAGTCGGAGGCTACAGAAGAGAATGTTAGAGGGGTATACGATAAGTGGGGGGATGGAAAATGTACCTGACGTATCCTCTTGGGTATGGGCCCGTCCATGTGTACCTGACTCCTCGAGGAGAACATCGGGAGCAGGACAGTTAGTGGCGCAGGGCGACAGGGATAAATCGAGCGAACGAGGACGGTCGGCCGTAGCGGCGTCAAAAGACCACGCGGCTAACCGCTTTTGGTGTTCGCGATCAAAAGGCCCGCGAAACTTGGAGGGAGGACACTCGCGGCGTCGATAGTATTCCACCTTGGGCCTTCCATCGGATTTAGAGCGGAACACCCGCTTGACCTTCTCGCGGAAGTTCATATCGGAATTGTGAAAGTAAAAAAGCAAATCAAATTCAGAATCGAGAAATCAATGCGGGCGGTTCCCGGTGGAAGTGCCTCAGGGCATACCAATCCCAGAATGGGAACGGACGCAGGTGTGCAAGCACGAAGTGGTGGGTGAGAGTAGGAACTGTATGACCATGCTTTGCCTGAACAGAAGGAAAAGAAAAGCAGAGACAATAACAGTATACGAGGGGAAATCAGGAATTATATGGGGCAGATAAGCCGCCCCCCAGAACAGTCCGATCCATATCCGGTGAAGATATTGGGGCAAATGCTACTCCAGAATACTTGGTCGTCTATTGGGGGGATTTACTCCCCACCTGTCTGTGCGCGTACCGTGTATACAGTATAGTATATAGTAGCATTGGTATTGGTTGTAGTTCTTTTCTATCTGGTACTAGGTTACACTTCACTGGGGAGGTCCCAACAGAAAGGGTGAAATTCTCCATGGAGCCGGACCGAAGGAACCGAGCGCGACAGGAACAGTGTGACGGTGGTACGAAGTACGAGTACGGTGATACATTTTATGCCTCACACATAATATCTCCCACCATGCACATCATACTGGAGACTGGAGTCTCACTTAGGAACACGCAATGATCATCCAAACAGGCAGGTGGCGCAATGCAGCGAAGTCTTCCAGAACGAAATATGAGCCACGAGCCTCCGAGTTACATCATTAATGTAGTGTGTGTAATAAAATTGACACAAGGAAAGATAGCCGGAGTCGGATGGGCGAATGTCGTTGGGTCGAAGGAAGAAACCGGAAACGGAGTGGACGCGGGACCCAGTGGGGGGCAAAACCCGGCACGTTTGTGCCGGTTGCGGTGGGGGGGGTGAGTTTGGTGAATAATACACCTTCCGTTTTGGTTTGGCAACAAGTAGGCCGGCTGGCCCAATGGCAAGGCGCTTGACTACGAATCAAGAGATTGCAGGTTCGACCCCTGCGTCGGTCAAATCTTTTTTCTTTTTCTTCCTTATATTCTTATGAACTACGGTACACTAAAGAACTGTTTCTTACTGTGTTGTTTTTTGTTTTTGTTTTTGTTACTGCGTCATACTATTGAGTTACAATAATAGCGCCCCATTGATCAATTCTACAGGCCTATCCCTAGGCTGTGCAGGCATGGCGATCCTTTGGCCCTTGGTTCTCTTTGCTCCTCTCATTTTACTATTTTTGCACGATTATTAATGATGCCCACTTTGTGGGCATCAACGCCCTATTTTGGTCGTCAAATGATGTAACCGGCTGTTTATAGCCCTAGCCCGCCACAATGAAGAATGTTAGAGCACAAAAATTGTACTTGTAGAGTCCGCGTTAGTAGAAGCCTTCCCCAGATCAGCTCAAGCCCCCTGATGGCCCCTGAAGGCGTGCAGGCACAACCCTATTTACCCGATTCAGCGTTAGGGCTGGCCAATGCCCTGCAGGCACACGACATACTTCCGCGCGCAGTCAAAGAAGGGACTTATATGCAAGGTAGACAATGAATACAGTAGATGCCTTAGATATAGTCGAGATTCAGAAGCCTATAATTACTCTCCCTATAATTATATAATTACTATAATTATATAATTACTATAATTACCCTTATTATGTGAAGACGTTCTAGAGCTTAAACACAACCGCGGAACCCAACATACCGGATCGTCATCCCTTCCCTTCTCGCATACTTGTAAGTTGACACCTTCCACTCCCTGCGAACTGCTTCTACAAGTTCGCTTCAATCGCACTTTTCCCCTGACTTGCGACAGACACTTTTACGAATCTCAATCATGCCTAAGAAAGGTGGAAAGAAGGGCAAGAAGGGCGGCAACAAGCCCGCCGCCGTCGCTGGTGCTGCCGTCGACAAGGTCGCCGACACCGCGAAGAGCGTGGTGTAAGTCGAGGGAAAAAATTCGGCGCATTCGTGCCACCTCATCAACTTTGCTGACTGATCGCAGCCACCCTCAAGAAAATGTCGAGGACAAGGCGCACACTGAATCCCAGCCCGAAACCGCAACTGAGACTTCCGAGACTGTGACCAAGCCCACCGAGACCGTCGAGTCCAAGGCCAATGAGGCCGATACCGAAAAGGCTCCCGTCGCGGAAAAGGACACAGTCGACGAGGCCGTAGAGAAGGCGCAGGCCTCCAAGGCCGGTCAGGTCGGCGAATTGGACGCTGGCGACGCCACCGGTAGTGGTACGAAGCCTGTGAACCAATTATCAATAAAATCACCTAACTCAAAATTCGCAGCCATCATCCCCGAAAAGACCACCAAGGAGTCGGCCGTCGTCCCCGAGACCCCCAAGGAGCCCGCTCCTTCCACCGCGACCGGCGCGGCCACCACACTCACTGAGCGCCCCAAGACTTCGGAGTCGACCGCTGCTGCGGCCGCCGCCCCTGCCCCTGAGCCTCTCCCCGCCCCCGAGGTTGCTCCTGCGGCCGCGGAGGCTGAGGCTGAGGCCACCCACAAGCGCCCGTATGACCAGCCCATCTTCTCCGACGAGGAGAACTTGAAGCCCCACAAGATGCCCAAGACCGAGGAGGAGCAGCTTGCAGCTAGCGCCGCTAAGGATAAGGCGACCATTGAGAACCTTGCCGGTGCTGGTCCTGCTTCGACTGCTGCGTTGACGACTCCTGAGCCAGTGCCTGCCAAGACCGAGGCTCCCAAGGAGGCCCCCAAGGCCGAGGAGAAGAAGGTAGAGGAGAAGAAGCCCGAGGCTGCTCCCAAGACCACCGCTCCATCCAGCGGTGCCAAGCCTTCCTCCTCCGACGCGGTCGCTGGTGCAGCTGCGGCCATGTCCTCCAGCAAGGACAAGTCTGCCGCCCCCGCAACCAAGGAGGCCGAGCTCAAGAAGCCCGAGGCAGCCCTGAAGCGCGGCGAGGAGCCCCAGCCCAAGACCGAGACCCCCAAGGCCGAGCCCAAGACCGAGTCCAAGCCCGAGACCAAGGAGCCCGTCAAGGACGAGGCCAAGGACGAGTCCAAGGCATCGGAGCCATCAGAGGGCGAGAAGGAGAAGAAGAAGGAGAAGGGCGGATTCTTCTCCTGGTTGAAGCGCAAGTTCAAATGAATAAAGTAATCGCTATGGGAAAATAAGAAAAAGAGAGAACCGAGAACCGTTGGTGTACGATACGCATGTACACGCTAGTTTGGTGGGTTGCAGACAGCTAAGGCTTGCACTTGCACGTTAGGCTTGCTTTGTTTTTTTGTTGTTTTTTACTCCCTTTCGGGCTTTGATGATACACCAGTTGAAATTATATATCAGATACAGAATCATAGTGCTTAACTTATTGGCTTGCTTTCCTCTATTTTGTTCTAATAGTGTCGCCGGGGGTGTTTCTCTAAGGGGCCTGAGCTATACACCGCTATTCCGATGTCAATGCGCAAGGATGGAACGATTGTCACTTCTAGTTGACTGCATATGGAGACACTGGAGTCGAGTGGAGTCGATGACGAGTTCGGTGTGTTGGCCAGGGTCTCCATGTCTCAGCTGTAGCTGAACAGAAAAGTATGACGTTCAATGGAATCGGAGGCATGGAGGAGATGTAGACATGCAAGCCATCGCCACCACCACTGTAATTACTGCAGTACACTGTATGTACCGACCTCCTTATAGATTGCAAATTATCAACCTGTCCAAAGTACTAGTTGCTCAATATCACCACTATAGTTATTGACCAAAAGCAACCCTCCAAACTATCGAATATCTTCTTCCATCAACACCCGCTTCCATTCATCCCTAAACATATAAAACACTGCAACCAAAACCCCATGGCGGTAACTAAATAGCAAACTTCATACCAGCATATCGATATATACCGATAAAGAGGACTGGAAGATAGATGTTACTGTATAGTATTCCCTTACCTGCTTGACGAGACGCTTCAGTTCCGAGCCCGGGTATAGCATGTAGATAAGTAAGTGTACGACAGCTCCTTCAAGCTGTCTTAAGAAGCGATATGTATTAGTTACGTTGGTATGAGCAATTCTTGTAAAATAAGAATTAGTGAGAGTAGTCGGCAACATTGTAGTTGAACTGCGAGCCCATTCGCATATGGTTATCGTCTATTCTCTCCTGCTATCTCGCCTGAAATCCATCGCAATATCGTCCTGATTCCTATACAGATCAACTTACTCTTTCTAAGCATGATACCGAGACAGGCGAAACAGCTCGTGAAGGAAGTCAAGTTATCGGTAATGCACCACGGTATCTATTATAGCTCAGCTATGACGACCTACACAATTATCATAATAGATCTCGTCCTATATCTGACACGGGACGCATTAACGGAGGCATTCCGCGGTGCTAAATAGTTATAAAGAGGGGTTAGAATTCCCCTCAGACCATCTTTACCATCTCTATAGACGTTCCAACAGCCACCATGTCATCTCAAGTCCGCGTTGCAATTACACAAGCCGAGCCAGTCTGGCTCAACCTCAACGCAACAATCGAAAAAACATGCAAACTCATCACCGAAGCAGCCGAAAACGGCGCACAGATAATAACATTCCCAGAATGCTGGGTACCAGGCTATCCAGCATGGATCTGGTAAGTCCGCACCCCAATCTTCGAATGCGAATTTGATTCTTAACACATACCGAGTTCAAGGTCACGACCAGTCGACATGGACCTAACAACCCGCTACATCCAGAACTCACTCAAGATCGACTCACCACAGATGAAGAAAGTCCAGCAATGCGCCGCCACCTCCAAGATTGTCGTTGTACTAGGATTCTCCGAGAATATCAATGATTCACTGTATATCGCACAGGCCATCATTGACGCCGACGGCGACATACGTATCACCCGCAAGAAAATCAAAGCTACGCATATGGAGCGGACGATTTTTGGGGATTCATTCGGTGACTGTCTTGATAGTGTTACCGACACAGCTGCAGGCCGGGTCGGTGCGTTGTCTTGTTGGGAACATATCCAGCCATTGCTCAAGTACCACACGTACTCGCAGCGAGAACAAATCCATGTTGCTGCATGGCCACCACTTTTCGATGATGATGATGATGATGATGATGGAGAGGGTCTCTATTCAATGTCGCGTAGTGGTAAGTTAAGTCGTTCCAATGGCAAACCGAGTGAATTGAACTAGAGCTGACGAGACGAATACTGTAGGCACGGCTGCGATTGCGCAAACGTACGCCATAGAATCTCAGTCATTTGTCCTACATACGACAGCCGTCATCAGTCAGGCTGGTATTGATATGATGAAAACGCAGGGAGGAGCGATAATGAATAGACCCGGTGGTGGGAGCTCGGCTGTTTTTGGACCGGATGGTCGTAAGTTGACACGCGATCATCCCGAAAACGAGGAGAATATCCTGTATGCCACCTTGGATTTGGACGATATACTCAAATCGAAGGCATTTGTGGATGTGTGTGGTCACTACAGTCGGCCGGATTTGTTGTGGCTCGGGGCTGAGAGAGAGGTTAAGCTTCATGTTAGGCCGAAGAAGAGTCAATAGAGCGGGACAGGATAGCTGCGGGCCTGTAGATCTGGTGGTTGGATCAAATCATCAATTCATTCAAACTAGCGTGTACATATCTTAGGCGTTCGTGTCAATGCAATTCTCATGTCCCAGGCCTAGTTTCGTGTTAAACAGTTGTGCCCATGCCCTAACGCCGTATCCCATAAAATCATAGTGTGACATTCGTTCACTGATACACTTCAGAATAGGTCCAAGCCACGTCTATTTCGCGTGGTTGATCATCTCTGCGTAAAGATCTTCTGGGATCTTCCGGACAATGAGAACCGTCAATGCAATAATCTCCCTTGCATCGAGAGGAGGGAATGAACGGAGAATTTTGTTCGGACTGAATAAAGTTAGCATAGATGAATTTTGTCGAGGATATCAGTTGACTGACCTTGGGCTTTCAAAGATCATATCTCGCATCCGTATGAGCTGGGCAACAATGCACAGAATGTTCAAGTGCGGTCCATACGCAAACAAGAAATCCCACAAGTGCAAAACCTCTGGTAGGGGAGGCGTACAAGCGCAGAGAGTCAAAACTGAAGGGAACGCGTAGAGCTCTGCATGCATGCCTTTGGAGAAGAGATAGGCCGCAAGCTTAGGCTCTACAACCTCAAGACATCGATCGACTAAGCGAAGACCCTTATGCACGCCGTCCATGGCGCCACGAATATACCCCGGGCATTCTCGAGTGACAAAGTAATGGAACAGCGCAAAAGCTTCAACTTCACTGCGAGCGGCATACAGAAATGGCGCACATAACACGTTCATGCCTTGAACGTAGATTGCCGAATCACTTGTAGCACCACTATTGATACTCTCTAGCTCCCCACCGAATGTTGTTTCCTCTGCAATGCTGGGTGGGGTGTTTACAAGAAGCTCCATCTCGCGCCGCCGGGAGGAGGTCGGACGAGATCGCGGTTTCGGCTTGGAGTCGTGAAGTTTCCATGCCACGGCATTGAGTAACCGAATCAAACTTGCTTCTGTGACACGGCGTTTGAAGAGAGGGTCTGTAGCCAAGGTGCGGAATGTGTCATTGCGGATTTTAGCGTAAGCGGGGGAACGGCCGCGGTGGATGAGGGCGAGGTAGTCGTCGGTTGGCATTGGCGGGATATCAAGAAGGATCAACCATAGGTAAATCCGGTACGGCGACTATAGGTATATATGGTCAGTATATTCATTGCAGAGCACTAGGCCAAGAACACTCACCATGCCATCTCCATCAGCGTCCACTCTGCTGGACAGCACGAGGTATTTCAGCTCTTGAAGCCCCTCACGTGGATCTCCATTCGGGGGACCATCACGCAAAAAATTCTCCAAGAGGGATCGCTTCAATCCAATCCCTGACCCAGTTTTCCGTGCAGGTCGTCTGTGCGTTGCAGTGGGTGGTGCAGCCGCAGCTTCACGAGTAGCCGCGTCGCTATTCGATCTTGCTCGACGATGTGCCCGCGCTCGTGTTGCAGCACCAGGCAATCCAGCTGATTCATGGTCTGTGCTGTAGGATTCAGACGCACGGGAGGCTTGAGTTTGGGCGATGAGCGCGTTGGAGGTTGACAGCACTTGGTGAGACTGGATCTTTCGCAGTGTTCGCATAGTTCGCGGGGAGGCGGGTGTCTCGGGGGCGAGACCCCAGGAATGTTGAGGTTTAGCCATCTTGTTGGAATCAGGTCTGCATTGGGATGTCACCGGACATCTTCAGAGAAGACGAGACGAGGTAGAGGTTCGCGGGTGGAGTGTATCAAATGGTGGCTGGAGCTGTTTTCTGCCGTGGAAATGCGGAACGGGTCCAGCTCCGAAGTATACAATTTCATAAACATAAGCATTTCATTCACCTACATCTTTATTGCTACACATTGAACACTTCGTACATATAAATTGATTCCTCCATAGCAGAATTTGCTACCCTGACAACTGCTAAATCATGAAAGACGGTCCCAACGCCAACATTAATCCCATATCTTTGATACAAATAGCTCAGGCATGAGCTGGATTTCCTTCGGGGTTTGAATTATTCCCACTCTCTCCGCCCATAATGTTGCGGACAAAGTCATGGTACTGGAAAACCTCGCCTCTCTTGCCCATCCCGGCTGTCTTTGTTCCCCTCCCGAATGCTCGTCGTCCGGTGAACCCGCTAAAGACTTCATCAATTTGTCGCTCGGTCAACCGTATCTCTCCGTCCTCTGGGGCAGTGTGTAGTAGAGCATCGCGTAATTCACCGACGTCAATCTGTCCATTGTCATCGTCGTCAAAAGCAGCGAGGGCATTGAGAAGCTCTTGTGAAGGCGACATTGATGCCATAAGTCCGGATAATGTGTTCAAAAAGGTTGGGAAGTTAATTGTCTGGCCCGATCCTGGTGGGAAGAAGCGCGAAACTGTAGACGAGGACGAGTCTTGTCCTGTTCAGATTTTGAATTAATTACCCAGCCTAGATATGAAACGGGATTGATTTACTCACCCAAAGTTGTGAGTACATCAATCACATCATCCTTGTTTACCAGCCCGTCGTTGTCCCGGTCCAAAACCTGGAAAGCTTCTCTGATTTCTCTTACTTGGTGGGCCGGCAGCTTTCCAGCCGCGTCGCTGGCGGGGCCTGCATATCCAACCGACCTGGTTCCCAGAATCGGTGATGAGCTGCCTGGCGACTGCGCTCCTTTCGTCGGGGAGGGAGGCAGCTCTCTCTTAAAGTTCGGCTGAGGAATGGGAGCTTCGCTCTTCGGTGACGCAGATTCACGGTCTGCGGCTGTGTATGACTGGTTCAGCTTGCTAGGCGACACCATGGGTGTATAGCTGCGACTGGGTGAGCTCCCTGGAGTGCCCGTACGACCGGCGGAGGGCGGGGAGTTTGGAGTCGACGGGCGCCGGAAGGGCGATGCCCTCGGCGACCCGAAAGACAATGGCGATGGCTTGAAAGTGGGATTGTTGGCCTATTCCATGTTAGTTAGAACCTCGAACATACTGCGTGAGCCCGACGTACCATGTTGAAACTTGGTTGCTCTGCCAAACAATGACGCTCTGCTCGAGTAAACAATCGGCGGTATAGTCGGCCCGACGGCACGTGTTTACGAACTATAGGGCATCACACATCGGCGCTTGGAGGAAATAGGACCTGTCAATTTTATTGTCTCCAATAAAAACAAAATGCTAGCTGCTAGGGATAAAAGGTTCTGATCTCTCATATCTCTCATATCTCTAGATCTCTCCGATCTCCTTGAAGACTCTCCAGCTGTTATCAGCTATCGTCCCCGCTGTGGAGATCGTTCCTTTTTCTTGACCCCTGAACCATTCACTACCAGTGATTGGCACCTGGGCAGCATTGACACTCCGTGACTTGTGCTTCTCCAAGACCCAGATCTTGGCACTCGGTATGCTATTCGACTCTACTTTGTCCGGAGCAATCGTCTCAATCACCTCCGAAGATGGCCACAACGCTACCATATCGCCCGTCCAACGACTCTCTCTCCGCCTCGAATAACCGCCAAACGAGTGGCCTCCCTCGGTTGTCGCCTGCGGCCTCCTTTATTGGACGCTCGCCTAGCAGTTCGCACGGCTCGTATCGACGGACGTCTGCAGAAAATGCGGTGTCTAGTTTCAGGCCACGCCGGTGCAAGGCACAGTACCCCCTCGACTCGCCCGAGCGCCACGTGGAATACATTTTGGTAGCCTCGTTTCACATTGATCGGGGCCCAATTATGGAGCACCAATACCCCGCGGCAATCAGTGGCGACGAGAGCATGCTTGCGGAACTGATGCTGCCGGATCAGACGCATGTGCGGAGTCAAGATTGGACTATATTCTTCTTGCACAAAGATACAAGCGGTGAAGATGAGGAGGACCCTGGGAGTGGAAGGAAGAAGAAGCGCAAGTCGAAATACCGCGGGAACGAAGAGGGTGCCGATATTCAGCATGAGAATCCCGACGAAGCCTCCGATGACCCCGATAGCAGCGACGACGAGGGTGGTGAAGGGCCACCCTTGATGTATGTGCTGAATCTTGTCAACACAAAGCAGGATAACACTGTGCGACGGTATGTCTATATTATATCGTTTTGGTGTGCAGGGCTAATGGTAAACAGAGGCGCAGTTGTCAAGGCTATGGCAATTTGTACGCGGCATTCATTCCTTCATATCTACAAAGTAAGCCCTCTGTCTCCGTCGCGCCAACAATTCTGACCATCATAGCCTTTGCTCCTTTTGGCCCTGGAGGATTACTTCAAGTCGCCATACTCTGAAACACTAGCATCTCTCTACGACGCCGTCAACAATATGGACCTTTCCCTAATGCCGAAAATGTCGTTGCTGGAGCGCAATATTCTGCAATCCAGCAACACGAAGGAAATGTTTCTGGAAAAGTTCGAACAAATGATCCGTCAGCGAGAGGAGGAGGAGAACCAAGATGGGGAGTGTCCGCCGTCGCCTAAGAAAATGAGTCGATACGCCTTACCACGGGACACACATGAGTACGAGTCAAAGGTCGTCTACAACGATATTCCTATCCCGGTCAAAATTCCGACTGTGATCTGGCCAGAGACCGTTGGAGATTTCTCTCTCATCAAACTCATTCAGACCTTTGCCGCTCCTCATGCTACATCCCCTCAGGCTTTCCCAGCCCATCCCCATCTGACCACAAGTGGCCCATTCACACACCCCATCATTGTTCTTGTCAATGCGATTCTCACGCAGAAGCGCGTGATCTTCTTGGGACACAACCGACCCTCTGGAGAAGTGGCCGAGGCAGTTTTGGCAGCCTGTGCCCTTGCATCTGGGGGCATTCTGCGTGGATTCACCCGACATGCATTCCCCTATACGGATCTGACTAAGATCGATGATCTCCTCAAAGTACCTGGGTTCATTGCAGGAGTTACAAACCCGACGTTCGCTAATCACCCTGAATGGTGGGATGTAATGTGCGACCTACCCACAGGTCGTATGAAGATCTCGACTCACGTTGAGCCTGCACCGGTAACAGAAGGACTTTTATTCTTCCAGCAGCAGAACTCGCTTCTGCCGAATCATGCATCCAACACGACGTCAGACCCCACAGGCGACACTTTGTTTATGGAAGATATTCTGCGCAGTATCACCCAGCGACATGGCGAGAATGCAATCCGAGCAAAGTGGCGTGCATATATCACCAAATTCGTCCGCGTCGCTGCAGCATTCGAGGAGACTGTGTACGGTGCATCCAACCTGTACATCATCGGCCCAGGCGAAGAGCTATCTCCCGACAGCCCAACAGGCCAGCAAACTGATGCAAACGACCCAACCTCCCTCCGCGGCCATGGCTACGTTTGGACCGACGAGAACGCAAAACAGCGCGAGCTCTCAGCATCGGTATCCCGAATCGAAGGCTGGCGCAACACCCGCTCCTACTACTCCTACATCCAAGACATTGCAGCCATGTACTATCCCGCTCGCCCAATCCAACGACCAGACATCAATCACCATCACGACCGACTTCGAGCCCTAAAGCTCTCCCACTCCGAAGCAGCATCCATCTACCTAGCCCTGTCGCACTCCGTCAAAGACTACGCGGGAATCTGCCAGCTCCTATGCGTCGCTCCAGAGAACCAAGCTGGTCTGTTCTACGTGAGCATGGGCCTGTTTCACCCAGACCAAGTTGTCCGCGAAGCCACAGTGGATCTTCTGGACCGTATCGCCGCCCACCCCGCGGGTCGCCATTTCTGGACTCACGTCGGGCGATTCGCCAAATTGGGATATATCCGCGTAAAGCGGGAGCGCGACGCTTCCACACAAAGCCCCATCTCAGGCGCGGCATCGCCTACTCTGCCTATGAGTTCGAGCTCTGGAACCAGCTTCGGTGGTGAGCCGCAGAGTCTTGTTGGCGTCGCGATGGGAGATGGTCTATCTAGGAGGAGCTGATCTATGTGTTTGTGTCTATTGATTTTTCAACATTTCTGTCAGTGAGCGCTTTTCTGTTTTTTTTTTTTTCCCTTGCGAGATATTCATTCCATATATGTGACGACTATGAAAGGTGTCTATGCCCATCCATGATTTTAGCTGCAACTCATCTGTCTATATTTCTGTTCTTGTTCTCTCCATTGTGGATCTATTGGTCTATGCAGTGCCATTGGCATTTGAGGAATATATTGTTGATAACTTTTCCTCGCCAGGGGTGTTTCAAGGTTCTAAATATAAACAGTAGAAGCAACACACTCTCAACTTTGATGCTAGAACGCATAATAGAGAAGCATCTCATACACCCATCTATGAAGGATGCCGAAGAAGAAAATTGGACTCATATAAACAATATCACTAAAAATTACATACAAATAAAGGATCGGGTACTAGAAAGCAAAAAACACGCTCTTCGCTGTCATAACCCGTGGCTGTCCTCAAGCAGACTCCAAAAATAACAAAAAAAGGAGAGGAAGTGTCTATAGACAGAACAAAACAAAAACAAGAAGATATAAACAATCAAGGCAGATTAGTCAAAATCGCAAGCACCAATCCAACCACCGTCGCAGACCAAAGACCGGGCAGTGGAATAGTAATACCAGCCCCAGCCGTAACCCGATTCGAACCCACAGTGACACTAGTATTGGCAAACCCAGCACCACAATGCGCATTGATAATTCCCGCCGAGGGAAGGTAGGTAGTATCAAGAGACTGACCATCCTTCTTCGCCCAACGAGCAAAGAGATCCATAGTCGCCTGCAAGCACAGGCTGCAAGTAGGTTTCGCACCAGCACTTAACGCACTCCCAATAGGCATAAAGTAAACATTATAATCATCGGGCGCGGAGGAATTCGACACAGCATCGACGAAACAGTAATCTTGCGTCGACGGGCTAGTCAGACAAGTGGCACGGTACATCGGTTCATAAGCGACCAAGTCCTTATACGTGCCCGTCACGACTGCATTCCCATTTCCGTAATCCTCAGCGCAGTTATCGCTGTGGAGGAGGTCTGCCGCGAGGGAGGTCATGATTGCGGAGCATTTGGATACATCCTGGGAGCAGGAAGCGTCGAGGACGCGGGATGTAGCGGTGGCTGAGGTTAGGGTGTGGAAGAAGGAATTGGAGTTTGCGAGGAGGAGGGAGACGGCGTGGCAGTCAGTGATTGTTGAATTTGCGCGCCATTTCTTGTAGAAGTTTATGCAGCTGGTTGAGTTTGCGAAGTCATAGGAGAGGGTATCGTATGGTGTTGGGAGTTCCAAGGAGGAAGATGTCGACGCTGTGAGGATTCGCCGTTGCAGGGCTTTCTCGTGTGCTGGCTGTTCTCCTGATATAGAAGATCGCTGTTGATCGGCGATGATCTCTCCACTCGGTCCCCAAGCCGATCGCGGCACAACCGCTTCAGATTGATCTGATGCCTCCGCTGGTTGTGCTAATGTTGCGATTGACGATATGCAGAGGAGGATTATTAGGATTAAAGTGGTATAAAGAGGGGCCATGTTGAAGCTTGATGCGCTTGGTGCGCTTGGCCGGTATTGGCGAGAGGTACCTCTGATTCTCGGGAATGACAGATAGTGGCAAGGACATAGATTAGAAAGAATGAGATTTGCTTTGAGCAGGACGCGATTAGGGAGTGTGGTTGAACGAGTGACGGTGCGCTGGGCGTAATAAAGAAAATGAGAGTTAGGAGTATGAAGCCGGCTTGGACATGTCGCCGTTACATGGACATGTTCTGTTGAAAGAGATGCCTGACTGTCGAGATGTCGAGACGGGGTTGAGGGCAAGCCTGGTAATATAATAAAGGTTAACGCGATTTTAGTCCGTAAGTTACTTTCGAAGTAAACTTAGCAAGTGAAGCAGCCAAGGCCGAGAACCTGTCTGTGCCATGCGCTAATACCGGAACGAGGCAAGCTTTCGTCTGTTGGCCGAAACTAGACTGTTCTGTGGGACTTCGGCTCAGGGGCAGCTGCATCATCCCGTTAATAGTGCTCCATAACCAGGTATAGTCCATATTGTATATTGTACTATTGCACGACATTGGCTTGGTCTGAACTGGCAACGGCGTTGACACTGGCTTTTGGTACCGGAACTGGTGCATTGGCGGAATTGGCGGAACAGCACAATGGGTCAGCCTCAAAGGATTCGAGGCTTCTAGGATCATCCGGTCGAGACCAGTCCATGCGATACGCCTGAATCAGGCATCTTGTCGATCAGTCGGAATCTGTGTGACTCCATCTGAAACTGAAGGGAGTGGTCTGTAGGTAAAATGAAGGGCAGTAAGGAGAGACTCGCACGAGTATGGTACACGTTCTGCAGATCAAGGAGTTACAAAGTAGATCAATTCGGTCTATTGAGTATATCAAGGTATCAAGATATCAAGCACAATGTTCATACTCCGTAAATGTAATTGGTCAATAACAGATGGAGAGAGAGATGGAGATGGAGAGTGGGAAGAAATCCTCGGGGGCCAATTAGGTAAGAGCGAATTCGGTGAATTCGGTGACTCGCCTCCCCCACAGCCTCCTTGATAGCTGGTCAGTCTCTATAACATCATACCTTTCTTTTTGCAGCTGTAATATGGAGGATTCATTGGTGCCCGAAACTCGGGTTCTGGCTGTAGCTAGCCATGTAAGTTGTGAAGTTGCCTTCTTTCAGGGTCCGAACTGACTTCTTCACCAGGTGGTCTATGGGTATGCAATTCCATGTCCCTGATCATGTTGATCATGTCAAAAGATACACAAAAAAGACGACAACTAACAGTTCAGCCATGTCGGAAACACAATGGCAACATTCGTCATGCAATCACTCGGCTGCGAAGTGGCCGCCTTGAACACTGTTCATTTCAGTACGTTGCAGTCCGGCCTGCATCCGAACCCAGACTCACAGGAAATGACAGGCAACCACACCGGCTATCGCCAATTCAAGGGGACTCGTGCCACCGCCCAGGAAATTTCAGACCTCTACCAGGGATTGTGTCAGAGTAACCTCACAGACTTCGACGTCATGTTATCGGGCTATGCCCCGAGCGCTGCAGCAGTCGAATCTGTAGGCACCATTGGCATTGATCTGCAGCAAAAAGCTGAAAAGAAGCCCGGCTCTTTCTTTTGGGGTGAGTGCTCCATACTGGCCTGTGCATGTCCCAGCACAGACACTGATAGCGGGTCATAGTGTTGGACCCGGTTATGGGCGATCAAGGACGGTTATATGTCAACGACGATGTAGTCCCGGCATATAAGAAGATTGTTCCTTTTGCCGATCTGATCCTTCCGAACCAGTTCGAAGCCGAGTAAGTCTTTTATCTACTATGACTCACAGTGTCTAATGATCCAGGGTTCTCTCCGGCATCAAAATCACCTCTCTTGCCACACTGGCGGAGGCCGTCACAGCCATCCATCGCATCTATTCAGTTCCCCATGTCATCATCACCTCCGTTCAGCTCTTCAAGCTCTCCCAGTCTGGCTCCACCCCAACCCCGCCAGAGAACTTCTTGACAGTAATCGGCTCAACGACAAGATCAGACGGCTCCCCGCGTCTCTTCCGTGTCGATATTCCCGCTCTTGACTGCTTCTTCAGCGGAACTGGTGACATGTTCGCCGCATTGACAGTCGCCCGACTCAGCGAAGCCGTCACCGCAGCGGGCGATAACCTCCGCGCCACCAAGTCGTGGGTGTCACCAGACATCGTTGCAGCAACTGACCTCCCACTGGCGCAAGCGACCATCAAAGTTCTCTCAAGCATGCACAGCGTGCTGGAGCGAACCATGGAATCGCGCAATGCCGAACTGGCAGTAGCTGTCCCCGCGCATAACGGCGACCTGACTACCGAGGAGCAAGCGAAACGGGATTATCTTCGCCAAACCAAGGCCGCTGAAGTCCGGCTGGTCCGGAACACGCGAGTCCTACGTGATCCCAAGATCCAATTCAAGGTGCAGGATTGGCGGAAGGAGGACCTTCCAGCGCATTTGCAATAGGTGGTTTTCTTTTGATCTCATGATGCATACATAACTTGCATGCGACACGATTGGACGATGGAACTAGAGGCATGGAAGTTCTGGTAAAGGCGGCATAGATGCTATTACAGGTGGGTGGACTCATTCTTATAAAACCTTTCGGTCTGTACATAGATTCAGTTCTTAGATCAAGCCATGAATTTGTTTTTATCATTGTAACGTCTCATGCGCATGTCAATCGTAAGTAGCCACCCCAACCTATCTATTTTTATTATCTCATTTTTCCATTTTTCATACCCAATGACATTTAAACGCCGGTGCTGCCGAATCCACCGGCACCACGGACACTCTCCTCGAGCTCCTCAACGACGGCAACCTCGGGGGTATAGATCTACGTAACAGTCAGACAAAGCAGTCACATAATGACTGTGGATAGACTTACCCGCTCCAGAACCAGCTGGGCAACACGATCACCGACCTTGACTATAGACCGAAGACACATTAGCAAACATCCTCCAACCCAAGATCGCAACACATACCCGGGAAATCAACATCGGAGTGGTTAAACAGAAGGACCTTAACCTCGCCACGATAATCAGCATCAATGACACCAGCACCAGTATCAATGAAATGCTTAGCAGCAAGACCGGAGCGAGGAGCGATACGGCCATCTACCAGCCATAGTATTAGCAATCCAATCCAACACTACAATATAATTCCAAGATCAATGCAAGATGTATTCAACGTACAAGTACCCTCAGGCACAGCAATAGCAATGCCGGTATCGACAGCACCCTTGCCCTTAGCCGGAATGACAGTCTCCTTGGCACTGTAGATATCATAGCCGGCAGCAAAAGCCGAGCCGCGCGTGGGTGCCTGGGCAGTTCCCACAAGCTTCTTCACCAGCAGTGGGGGAAGAGGCTGGCTAATGGATGTCACGGCTGGAGCAGTCATGGTGTCTGTGTTTGTTTCTGTCTTGGTGCGTTTCGCGAGAGGAGAGGTGGGGAGGGAGGGAGGTTGACGGGCTTTGGTTTCGGATTCGGTTGGTGGGGTTGTCTCTTTGGTCATGGTATGTGAATGTGGAGGTGGAGGAGGAGAGAGGGAGATCTGAAGGGTCTAAAGGATCTCTAGTGTCTTCAAAAATTGCGGTGTGTCGCGTCTCACCGCTGGGACGCGCGCCGCGGCTGTTTGAAGCGTTTGTCTTCGCCCCGCTCCCGAGGGAACACTGGGGCCGAGGTTCGCCCCGGAGTCGGTTACTCGCATTGACTACTTGTACTTCTGTTCAGCGCTTTGCATTTCTGCATACTTGTTCTTTTGGTCTGGATTCAATTATGGCAGGAGCTGTGCGACAACCTATAGATATTCCCTCGTTGGAGCGGTACATTGACCAGACTGTACCAGAGCTCAAGACTCCACTCGATGTCAAACAGGTAAGTCTGCCACATTAGCATACAGCTTTGACTAATGTCTTTGTCTATTAGTTCGGTTTCGGTCAATCTAACCCTACCTACCTCCTTACCACCGCGGATGGAAAGCAAGTTGTTCTGCGGAAGAAGCCTCCTGGCAAGCTGCTCTCCAAGACAGCTCACAAGGTGGAGCGAGAGTACAAGATCATTCGGGCTTTAGGGGATACCGAAGTCCCGGTCCCCAAGGCATACTGCCTATGCGAAGACAATGCCGTCATCGGAACACCGTTTTATATCATGGAGTTCCTGGACGGGCGACACTTTACCGACCCAGCCATGCCTGGAGTGAGCGGTGAGGAGAGGAACGCACTGTATGCAACCCCATCAAGACAACGTTGGAAGCAATGACGATACTGACCAAAGCAGATGGAAGAATGCAGTGCAAACCCTAGCCAAATTCCACAGCGTAATCCCCAAGACCGTCGGACTCGAGACATTTGGCAAACCAAGCGGCTTCTTCGACCGCCAAATCGCAACCTTCACCACCATCTCCAACGCCCAAGCCCAAGTGCTAGACGTTGACACCAAAGAACCCGTCGGCGAACTCCCCCACTTCAAGGACATGGTAACCTTCTTCTCCAACAAGAGCACGCAACCCCGCGACCGGGGCACCCTCGTGCACGGCGACTACAAAATCGACAACATGATCTTCCACAAGACGGAGCCCCGCGTCATCGGAATCCTAGACTGGGAAATGGCCACGGTCGGGCACCCGCTGTCGGACTTTTGCAACCTAACCAGTCCCTACATAATGGAAGGCGCCGACTCGCAGCTGGAACAATTCACACCAGGCGTGCTGGCCGGGCTGCCCACCCGTGCGGACTGCATTCGCTGGTACGCCGAGGTATCCGGGTACGACACTCGAGGGGATATCGCCTGGGGGGATGCGTTCTTTGCTTTCCGGGGCTCCGTGATTATGCAGGGCATAGCGGCCCGGTTTGCGGGGCGGCAGGCCAGTAGTGCGCGGGCGGGCGATTACGCGAAACGCGCGAAGCCATTTGCGTTGGGGGCTTGGGAGAGGGTGAAGCGGGTGCAGGAGCAGGGTACCAAGGGGAAGTTGTGATAGAATCACTTGACATTAACATTTACTGGAAGAACAGATAGTGCCAATAGTGCCAATAGTGTCAAATAAACTCTGTATATACAAGAGAAAGTTGAAGCCTAACCGTGTAAGCACTTAACCCCATTCGGTCTTCATGCAGAGAAATCACGACGTGGCGAAGGCGCTCTCGGGCCTTTATAGAGTGCAACGGCGAGTTATGATTGGTCGAGGCAAGGTCTGCGGCTCTACGCGTACGTGAGGCTGAGGGGTTGAAGAACCCACTTTACAATACGATACACGCGTGGTCCTATTTTTACTCGGGGATGCGGCTGAGGATAGGGGTACACTACAACTCACTTATGCATGTCCAAGTATAGTACTGTATGCACACATGGGCTGGCTAGGCTGAAACCTGGATCTGCTTGACAGCGCGTTGGCAGATCATGAAGAGGGGGTTGCGTTAAAAGTACGTTACCTGAAACCACGAACGGAGCCATCATCAAGCCCCCTGTGGGGCCGGTTGTTGACTCCGGAGTAGCGGTGGGGATGAATTCGAGTTGAATCCCGTGAATCCCGTGAATCCCGAGAGGGGAGGTGAGGGGGGAGGGGGAGGAGGAATAGGTAAGTAAGAGGTAAAGAGAGTATGTGTGTGAGAGAGAGACAGAAAGAGGATATGTGAGAAGAAAGAGGGGATATGTAAAATAACTATGGAGGACAACTGGGCAGGAGGTACTAAAAAAGTCGGGATATAGAATAGATTACCTGACCTTACCATACCATACAATGCGGCTCACCTCTCCCCCCGAGTGCCTATTCTCCTTTCTCCTTTTGCCTTTCTCTTTTTCTTTTCCCTTTTTTTCTTTTTTTCTTTCTTTTCTTTTTCTTTTTCTTTTTCTGTTCTTCTTTCTGCTTCCTGCGTCATTCTGTTCCTCACGTGGAACTTCCAAGGAGCCTCTGACTTCAGTCTGGTCTGGTCTGGGACCTTAGCCTCTTTTCCTCCCCTTCTCTTATTTTTGCTTTTTGCTCTAGCTCTTGACTTTGCGTCTGTACTTCGCTTTGATCCTCGGACTCCCTGTCCTACCTGGCAGATGGCGTCGTGACTTCGGATCACTTGAGCCTCACGGGACCCATCAACTACCCGCTCTCACCTTTCCGGGTAAGTTCATTCCACTTCATCTCTCTCTAGCTCTGCGCCTTTCTGCCTTTCTGCATTTCTTATCTCTACACTTTTGCACGTCGCACTTCTCTTCTGCCATGCCTGGCCTGTTCTTGTTTTGTTTCTGTTTTCTGTCCTCGGATAATCCTCTGTCCGTAACCCCTCATCTCCCATCCCGACTTGTCAGGTCTCCATTCCCTACTCTTTTCTCCGATATTCGGACTGTATCTTTTCTTTTTCTGTAATTCCTATATCTAACCCTCGATAGGCAATTCTGATGTGTGACCACCAATCACAAGTATAAAAGTGCTGATGCACTTCATTGATGACGTCCGACATGTATGACTCGGATGATGCCTACAATAGGTCGCCAGGGTTAGAGGCGACAAAGGTCAATTATGGAGACAATCCATCACCACCGCCATTTGTCCCAACCGACCCCAAAGATGGCGCGACGGGTCCCCGTAAGCCCGCGCCAGAGAATCAGACCTCAACCCGTGAGGGCGACCGAGTGCTGATGGGGTTTCTAGCACCGAACCACCCCGAAATCGCCATCTCTGCTAGGGACACTCCGCTGGATTTAGATCGCAAAAGTCAAAAGCCACCGTCAGACTTTGATCCCAGGAAATTAAATCCTTTAAATCCTTTCGCAAAGACTGAGAAGGAGATCACGGAAAAGCCGGCCCTGGCTCCGATCCCAGAGAAAGAGGAATTGAGAAAACGCCTTCCGTCAATCAGTGAACGTGCGGCGGAATTGCCTTTCAGCAAAACACCCCCAGAGATCAAGTCCCGACTGCCATCATTACAACCGATCCAAGCATCGCCAGGGTCCTGCGCAAACTCCCCAGAAAGCAGTCAAACCCTACCTTCAATCCGCGAAACGCTCAGTGCATTGACAGACTTTGGCCCACACCCTCCACACCCGTCACGTCCATTTTCATCATGTCCGACATCAACAACATCAGGGAACGACTCTCCTTACGATCGACCATTCCCGGCCAAGTTTCCCATTCCCGCGAGTCCTTACTCTCACTACTCGCCCGTGAGCATGAAAGACTCCTCTACCAACCCTTCTCCGGCCTCGCATGGGGCTTTCTGGCGAGGTCCCACTCAGACCGATATTCTAACAGCTCCAACCCCGTATGAGGCTTCTCCAATGACAGCCACGAGTCCTACCAGCTATCCTACACCGACTGAACAGGTTGGGACAGGAATGAGTGATCGTGTCTCACTCGCTGCGTCGACTCCTCAGGCCAATGGGGGGCCGACCGGTAGTTACAAGTGCACCCATCCGGGGTGTACTGCCGCACCTTTCCAAACACAATATCTCCTTAAGTAAGAGCGCAAAGAAACAGCAAGAACCTCTCTAACAAATACCAGCTCCCACGCCAATGTGCACTCCCAAGATCGACCCCATTTCTGCCCAGTAGAAGGCTGCCCACGCGCCCTCGGAGGTAAAGGCTTCAAACGCAAAAATGAAATGATGCGCCACGGTCTCGTCCACAACTCTCCGGGCTACGTGTGTCCCTTCTGTCCAGACCAACAACATAAATACCCTCGACCCGACAATCTTCAACGGTTTGTACTCCGAGCCTCAATCTGACATCAGCCGAACTGACACTCTTAGACATGTCCGTGTACACCACGTCGACAAGAACAAAGACGATCCAATTCTGAGACAGGTTCTCGCCCAAAGGCCTATTGGCAGTGCCCGTGGCCGAAAGCGAAGGATGAACAATACTTGACATCCTCGTTTCTATTCTTTCATTATTCTTTGATTTGTCATTTCCTTCTTGTTCCTATTTTTGATCTCTACCGGTCCGGTGTACCCTTTACCCCTCCCATCACCTTGTACCTCGTGTATCCCGGATGTCTCGAACAAGCGCCTCAGTATGACACAGCATGCAACCCTGGCGTTTTGTGTTTTATCTACCTCCATTACCATCACCATTACCACCTACCACTTCCTTACATCTCCCTTTTTCTCTCTCTCCCTCCCTCTCTCTCTCTATCTATCTACCTTATGCGTGACGACCTTCCTCAGCCGTGATACCTTTCTGCTGTTTATCTTTATTAGTATCCTTTTATCCTTCGGTTCTTCTGCAATGATACCACCCGTTGTCCATTGTTAGAAATTCATGATATTACATGGGCCATTCGTTTATTCGGGGTGTCGTGTTCGTTACTATCTTTTACTTGTCTATAACTTATAACTTGTCTGATCAATTGCATTGGGTTGCCTTTCTTCTACATTCGCTTTCGATGTTCTTTGCGTGCTTAGAAGGGAAAGGAGAGGTTTGGAGGGGTTTCATGTTGATCATTCCCGTAAGTGTCTTTCCTTCAGGATTCAAGTGGGTTCCGCGAGACGTGGAAATACGAAGGGTACAAGAACAGGCCAGTGAGCCAATAAGGTTGAAAAAGACCTCTGCGCCTATGAGAAGACTGATCGAGGCACTAGCAAAGAAAACCCCCGAAGCTTTTATAATGCCCGTCAAAGCTGGACCGAATATGGGTCTACAGAATACATATGTACACTCGCTTGATACGCATTGCACGACTTTATTGTTTAATTGGGACTGGAAAGACGAATTTCAATTATTACAGTGAGAGACTATACGGAGACTAGACCATAGACGCTCCGGTACGTTACGGCCCACAGTAACGTGAGGATATAAGGACGAAGAAAAGACTGGATTATAGAGAGAGACTAAAGGCAGATAGAAGGTGGAAGGCCGAAGGTGCATCTCAATGAAAAGAAGTCTACAGGAAGCAAATAACAAAAATCAAACGATGTATCGACAAATGAATTGCATTTTCGCCCGGTTATAAGAACCAAAGCCAGTATCGCCCACCATTGAGATAACATAACAACTACCAAAAACCAGGTATATCGGCAACAAGAAAAAGAAGGCTAACCAACAACCCAATACCAAGAAAAAGATCCATACAATCGCTGGCATCATGAGAAAAACAAGATCAGGTGAGAAAAAGCTAGCTAAAGAGAATCATATCGTTGCCTTAAAAGCACATTCAAGAGAAAAAGAGCAAACATAAACATATCAAGAAGACATCGTACCGTGACAAGGAGATCATCATATCAACACGGAGAACACTCGTTTTGTACATGTCGTAGCAAGGTTGGGATAAACAGAATGAAAGGGGGAAGGGGGAATTGAACGCATGAAATCGAATCATAGAGCATGATTTAGGTGAACTCCACACCATGCGCTTGCTGCCTTTCTTGGCGGGTACGGGCTCGCTCGGCACGTCTGCGACGGCGGTTATTCGCGTATGAACCGCTGACATCGGTGCCTGTATATGTAGGGGAGGTGATACTACCCGGACCGTAGGGCATGCTCGAAGGTGCAGGGTTGGGGATAGGAGGGGGCGGCGGCATGAGGCTGACTTGGGATTGGGGTGCTGCCCATGAGGATGAGGGGGCCATAGTTGCTTGTGGGGGAGCGAGGGGGGCAACACCTGCAGCGGCTTGCTGACGTCGTGTTTCCGCGTCTTGTCGGCGTTCCATTTCTTCGACGCGGCGCCAGCGATCATCATGGGCGTCTTCGTGGCCGGATAGGGAGCCTACACTGCTGTTGCGACGGCGAGAGTGTCGTCTTTCTCTGCGGCGGGCTTCGCGGCTTGCCGCTGCTTCTTCTTCTGTCAGTCGGCGAAGGGTTACATGTCGTCCATCGTTGTGCATCTTGACTTTGACAGATACTGGTGGTGACTCGACATGGTCGTCGCGGTGTCGGCTGTTGCTTCGGCTGTGGCGAGAGGCTGCTCCGAGTGCTGCCCCGGCGGCAATGGGTGCAGCTAGCTCTGTTGCATCGTGGGAGAGACGGGAGTGACGAGAGGGGGGACGTTCAGGCCGCAAATCACCCGAGAATTGTTGGTGAGCTGGCGGCATCGGGGGTGGCACATCTGAGACCATGCTACTATGAACAGCGCCGGTTGCCATAGGCTCAGCGGTGAGAAGAGACTCTCCATGTGATGCATGTCGAGGTGGGCGGGTCAGGTCTGTTTCAGTGAGATCGCTTTCAGAGTACGAGCTGGTCCTTCTTCTTGGGTAGAAGCTTCCTTCTCCCTGAGGGCGACGTTTGCTGTTTGCTCTTTGTAACGATTCATCAATGTCGTCTCGGCGGCGAACCTCCTCCAACCGTTGTTTCTCTTCATCGTCCTTGTTGCCACGGCTGAACAATTTCTTCACGGCAGCAAAAGCACCGACGCCCAAAACCGCATCTTTGATGCCAGATGACTTCCGCTTGGGTGGCTCGGTGAGATATGTACTGTTGTAGTAGTAAGATGAGCCCGGGCTCTGCGATCTGCTTGGCGGACGGCTCGGCGGACGATTAAGTGGCGTTCGATGGGTTGGCTCTGGTCGGCCATCTTCCATCCTGCTAATCGACTCGTCTGTGTAGCTATGAGTGCGCGAGTGAGGAGCCGGTCTATACCGACCTGACTCGGCATCATCTTCACGCTTCTTTCGACGATCCCACCACTTCTTGGCCAAAAGACCAGCCCCGGCTAATGCGCCAATTTCGAAGAGTTTCTTGCCGAAACCACCACCATGGTGCGAAGGTTCATTTGAGTATTTCTCATCCGAGACCGAGGTGCGGGACTCCTCGTAGACTTGACTGGCGTGGCGACTGCGAGGACGTCGTCGGAACATAGAAGCCAGGCCAGCGGCCATAGCACCACCAGCAAGTGCTTCACCCACGTGTCCACCGCCATGGTGTTCCGAGACCTCTGATGGTCCAGTGTAATGACTATGACCACCGCCATGATCACTCCCCATATGATATCCTTCGGTATCATACCGGTAAGAGAGTATAAAGTAAGCAACCAGGTAGGCAAAGGCGGCAAGAGCGAACAAGATGAAAAGGACCTTAGGTGAGCCGTAAAGTGTAAGTCCCAATGGGATCTGAACAATGCCCAGGATGACCAGGGCACGGCCCATCCACCGGTGAAACTAAGACATGTTAGATCGAAACTTCACTTCATTTCGATTAGTTACTTACCACCAGCTTCAAGGGGACATGAACTCGTTGTCTCTTGCTCTCCACCTTGTGCACGAACCAGCCCCAGAGCACCTGGAAAATAACCAAAACGTAGATTGCCAGGCCAATTCCATGGTGAGGGTTGGTCAGGCTTCTTTGTGGCCCGACAGCAAACCATCCAAGCACAAACACGACAGTGCTCAAGAGCAGAGTCAGCGCCTGACCCCAGGCGTGCAATTTAAATGCCCAGTATGGGTTCCATCGGGAGTAGTATCGAATTATTAGGGTTGAGATGGGCACGATGCCCAAGAAAACGATTGCTGCAATAACGCCGTGCGCGATGATAATGGAATGGTACCCGGCCATATTTTTGAAACGATTGCCCATGCCTGAAATAAGTTAGTAACAAATTAAAGGAACAAAGAGATTATAAGAATATGTAATATTTCCAACTAACCATTGTATCGCATCGTCTCAAAATTAACGCCCATCAAATTGGGTAGCAAGAAGGTATCTCGCCCAGAGTCCCAGGTGCCATCTCCAACATGTAGGGTGTTTGACGAGTATGTGCTACTCCCCGCAGCGGCGAGGTCTGAGACTGACATTTTGCGTCCGATTCTTCGAATACCACGCGATCTTCAATCTGGAATGTCGGAGTTACCGAAGGAGATCTGTCGAGATCCCCCGATCTGAAGAATGCACCATGCGACAGCGGGATCGGAAGTGAAACTGGAATGCTGAATGACAAGTGGCCGATGGATTGTGTATTATTCAATCAATAGGCTCGGAATACGGTGTTTCACAAGCCCTAGGTAGGGATTGCGAGGTCGAGGTGGACAAGAGGTCGAGAAGCGTAAGGAGAAGTAGGAAAGGAAGTGCTATAGGGTAATAATGTGAAGTCCGATAAGATTGAAATTATGGCCGTCTGAACAAGGCCGTAAGTACAAGGAAGGGAGGAATCACAACAGGTCTGGAGAGCTGACCGATTTCCCAGTCAACTGTTTGCCATTTGGGGTTTAGCGTGACAACACATAACCCGGACAACCACTGCTGACTTAGCCACACAAACTGACCGCCTTCCTGATCTGACATATCTTATCAGCTGATCTTATCATGGCGTGCTGAACACGCCAACTTCGTCACGTCTCCTCCCTGTGTCTCCCCTCTTCCTCTCTTCTCTTCTTCCAGGGATGACGTCCTAGATTGATCCAACATGACCCCTCAGATTGAGGTGTTCATTAAATCCCTCTCCCGGTTCGTCACCTCTCTATCTGCTATAGAGACATAACTAACCTCCATAGGCTCCTAGGGTGGGCATAGTGAGTTCCGCATCCCTCCGACCTGCACCGGATCTCAACTGACTCGAACACAGCATGCTCTGTTGGTCTGGGTCTTTCTATCCCCAACCCCTCACCAATATCAAACGCAAGTCTACGGTCGGCTTATCGATTGATCTATCCACAATCAATCCATTGGGTTTCGTCTGCTATGCGATATACACCGGTGCATTCCTATACTCGCCCATGATCCGCGCGCAGTATGCCGCTCGACACCCGGCCGCTGAGGAGCCGACAGTCCGGTTCAATGACTTTGCATTTGCGGCCCACGCGGTGCTGTTGACTTTGTTCCTGTATACGCAGTTCTGGCCTTTCATCTGGGGTCTGCATGTGTCCCGCTTTCAGAGGATTAGCTGGCTAATGGCGGGTGTCTTCTGGGGATCTGTTCTGGCTCCTTTGGTGGTTATGTGGATTGTGTTAGCGCGTAGCCCGGATGGGGGGTATGATCCTTCATCCTGGGCGTGGATTGACGTGGTAAGTGAAGAGATGTTGAGTGGAGATATCGTACTCCGATGATTTGGAAAAGGAGAGAGACCTAATATGCAACCAGATCTACTCGTTCTCATATGTCAAACTTCTTATCACCATTGTGAAGTATATGCCACAGGTGTGGTTGAACTACCAGCGCAAGTCAACAGTGGGTTGGAGTATTGGGACCATTTTGCTGGATTTGGCTGGCGGTGTTTTTTCGATGGTTCAACTGGTACTCGACTCCAGTCTCCAAAGTGACTGGAGCGGTATCACCGGTAACCCGGTCAAGCTGCTGCTCGGCAACGTTACCATCTTCTTCGATGCGATCTTCGTGATCCAACATTATGTCTTGTACCGGGATGACTCGAAAAGAACGCCTGGCCCGGGCGTGCGAACACCCCTCCTGGTCGGGCAAGACGACACTGTGAGAGCCCAGGCGTGAAGTTAGTCATACATGGGGGCCGAATTCAAGGCATGGAGCATTTCTCTATTTTTGTAGCGTTTTTGAGACATGGGGGCGGGTTTCCGATCCCTGTCTCACATCCAGACCTTGACGATCTAAGGCGTTTCTATAAGGCTAGGCTATAGATGTATAATGCTTTGAGACACGAAGATTGCAAGCTCGAGCGAGACCCAGCGAGAAGGAGTACAGAGTGCATAAGAGGCTTGAAGTAAGACACCGCTACTCAGATTTGGGGGCCCCCAACATCTGCCCCTCCACAACACAATATAATTGGTCCAGCACAGGGATAAGCACAAAGTTCTCTGCTTCACCCAATCACTTCACTCAATACGGCATTGCCGGGTTCCGTCCACGGTTCTGACCGTCGGTGTCGGGTTTTGGGGCTCAAGGCACTGCCAGAGCTGAGCCAAGTCCGCAGTCCTATCCCTTTTCGATCATTCTTCTTCTTCATTCTCCTTCGTTATGCACCATGAGTGGCCCACGCGCCGTTGCCTTCTTCAAGAAGTGATCGCCGTATCTTGATAAAAATATGTGAATCATTTCATACCCCAGCTCCTTACGCGTGTTACGTATGAGAAATCAGAATACCACCTTTCCTTGAACGTAACGTAACGTTGAAGCTGACTCAACTGAGGGGACCTTTGGAAGCAAAGTGTATAACTTCATGGTGGATTCATAATGGAGTACAAACATGAGGTCGCCACGTTTCATGAATAACGTGTTACACTAGAGGTACAATTAATACATAAGGCTGTGAAGGCTGAGCTACGATCAACCCAAAGAGTTGGGCGTCGCATGGCCTTTCCTGGGAGCCAATAAGCGATGACAGTAGTACAGACCCTGTCCAAGATCATAATGAGACCCTATGGAAACGCCAATCCCGTCATCTATCAGCCCTAATGCCGTTAGTAAAGCGCACCGTACTTCTACAAATGGGAGACTGGTCTATGCAAGCCCCATGGATCATCGCTGCCAAGGTCTATGCCCGCAAGCCCATGTTTGTGATTCAGAATGATTCAACATCAGATTTGGGGATAAGCTGTATTATCAGTACTATCTGAATTACCTGCCGATCCATCTCAAATTCCTATGCGGAACGCCTTGTTGTTAGGATTACAGCACTGCCTCACGCTGTTTATACGCCATAAATATAGCTGCATTTGCTGGATACGAGCCTCTTCGATCGCCAGGAGAACCTTATAACACTTAGGGTTGTCTTCTAACTCAGACTCTACGCCTGGCCACGTTTCTTTCGACTTTCTTTTACAAGCCAATTGTATGAGGGCGCTTCCCTCCACATCCATCTACTTCACGGCCGAAGTTCTCTCAGCCCTACCACTCCCGGAACTCTTCCACCATTGCCTCTCCATCACCATGTCCAACCTGTATTCTCGTAATCAAAAACCAAACAGCATGTATCCCACTGTGCTTGACAGAGGCCGGGAGTTAGAGCCATACATGGCGGGCCTAACAGACCACCCCGAACTCAACCCTCACCTGTCTTCTGGCATGCAACCGCTAGAGTTTATGGACACACCAGCCCCACGAACGTTCCTCGCACCGGAAAACTATTCCACAACCCGACGAGGCTCATGTTGTAGCGATACACTGGGCTCACAGTACGCATGGTCCACAGCCTCCAACGCAGATCTACTTGCAACCTCCCCAGCTCTATCCTCCCTCGAGCCCTCGGCCTGCTCAGGACCAACTTCCCCCTACATGCAGAGCTACTACCCATCGGGCCATATGCAGCCCGCTATAAACACACCCGATATATCGACCTATAGCCCCCAGCAAATCAACAAATGGTGCATCGAGACCAACCCCAGCGGCGACTTCTACCCTTCCTATCCAGCAATAAACCCAGGTGCCATACCCTACCCACCCACTACAGATCTTCAATCAGACCCTTTCACCCACAGTGACTCCCTGAGCACAGCAAACGACTGGCTCTCAATGCCAGCCTTCACAGACCCAATCCCAATTCCCGAATCCTTCTTCCCAGTCTCAATCCCCCAAACTCAATCCCAACAACTCATCCCCTCATCAACAACAACAACTACTACTACTTCAAATACCTCCTCCACAGGAACACGCCCCTCCCCAACCCGCTCCTTCTCCGACAATCCCTCCCCGCCAAGCAGCACAAGCGACCTAACACACTACGGGACCCCAACAGCAGACGGAGCCTGGCGGTGCGCATACCGGGGCTGTTCCTCGCAGGCTGTATTCCGACGTGGATGTGATCTGCGGAAACATTTCAATCGGCATCGGAAATATCTCTTCTGTCGGCATGAGGGGTGTCCGCAGGCTGTGCATAATGGGTTTTCTAGTAAGAAGGATCGCGCGAGGCATGAGGCTAAGCATAATCCTGGGATTGTTTGTGAGGCTGTGGGTTGTGGGCGGGTTTTTAGTCGGGTTGATAATATGAAAGATCATGTTAGGAGGATTCATCGGAGGTGAGATAGGAGGTGAGATAGTGGGATTTACTCTGGGTATGGGTATGGTTATGATGGTGACGATGTCATGGGATATATGGGTATTTCTTGATTTGTTTTATCTTTTTTTTTTTTTTTCTTTGGATTTCGCTTGTACTATAAGTGGGAATGGGTCGGGTAAGGCGAATTGGGAAGGGTTGCGTCTCCTCCCGGTGAGGGTTGACTTGCTGGGAAAGCATAAAACATACTGGAGGCATATGATAAAGGGAAAGGGATTAGGGCTCGTCTGTTTAGAATGAGAATTGATGCCCCCGTGTGGGGTTCCTGCGTTGATTAGATGCTCGGTGCTGAAAGATAAATAGGAACAAAAGATCCCTGACAAATTAAATTAAAACTGAAATTACAAGGCTTGCTAGAGGGAAATATAAATCACTTATTGTCTTCGTGGCGGCCGTCACTCTAGACCCGGGATGGGAAGCCCTAATCCACTAGACTATACACATATATCGACTCGAACTCCGCTACAGTCACTCAATTCTGTTCCTCACCTCTCTTCAGGTTTTCTCTTCCTTTTTTGATCACCTCAATAGGGCATCTGCAGTTGACATGAGCACGATTTTCCGGGTTGACGTGGCCGCCATTACCGGAGGAGGCAGTGGTCAGTGTAGTCCATCACCATTGTCGAAGGGATTTGCTAAACAATTTATCCCACTAGGTATTGGACTTACTACGTCACGAGCTCTTGCAGCCAACGGCGCGCAGAAGGTCTATATTCTAGGACGTCGACTGGAAGTGCTAGAGAAGGCCGCCGAGTACCCAGCATAGTCCCAGTCCAAGCCGATGTGACATCCAAGGCTGATCTTCAAGCGGCAGTCCACCGCATTAAAAACGAAGTCGGCTATGTCAACCTTGTCGTCGCCAATTCGGGCAACATCGGACCTGCGGTGCGCTTTAGTCCCAGTGCATCGATTTCCAAGCTGCGCGAGACCCTCTTTACCAACTTTCCCCGGATGAAATTAACGACGCCCTAGCCCTTAACATCACCGCGGCCTTCTTTGCCATGACGGCTTTCCTGGAGCTGCTCGACGCTGGTACCCAGAAGGCCCTACAGGGCGGCTTCGGCAAGCCCGTCAGGGATGGCACCGACGTCCCATCTATCCAGAGCCAGACCATCTTCACAACCAGTGTGTCTGCCTTTAGTCGACACTGGTCGTCGTCGCCTCCGTATTTGACTAGCAAGGTCGCTATTATGCATGCAGCCAAACATGCCAGTACCCAGTTGGCCAGATTTGGCATTCGTGTCAACGCGTCGGGAGAACTCCACTGTCTGCCGCCACTAAACCTTATGCGGATTAAGGTAAAGTAGGGACTATGGGTCCATGTATGATCCATGACTATCCTGCTTAGCTCGAATGCGAAAGAGCTGAAAGGTACGATCAAGTTTATGGTATATTGTCGGAAGCATGATAGATCTGCAAGTGGGTTTCTGGGTATTTACTCAACATTATCTTACATCAGTATCAGGCACCTCACATCAAAAGGATCTGTTTGTCATATCCTACAAAATCGTTATCCATAAAGAGTCATGCAAGTATTGACTCGAATTTAAAGTGTTTTCATGTACCTATCTAGAACTTCGCAGCAGAGAATACTTTGCCATAACGTTGAAATCATAGAATCAAGTAGATGTAAATAGCGAAGGTTGCAAACAGGTCCATGCAAGGATCCGTGAGGCTTGTCTCATGTGCCTTGAGCGTTTACAGTAAGCAAAAATAGACCAGACGAAACAGCAATCACGCTGAGCTCTGATAATAGCCAATAGATAAAACAATAATAGATCAACATCTTTCTGCTCAGCGGGGCATTTTGTACCCAATTGAAATGTGACGAGTCATGTCCATGTACGGTGATGTGGCAAGGTGTATAGAACCAAAAATAGCATCATGAAGGGTATAGCTTATGCGGAATTGCATAAAACAATGCCTTTGTGGTCATTACAATGTCGTAGTAAATCCGCCTTGTCTTTTTATACTTTGGTTTTGCATGATGCATGATTCTGGCTTTGTAGGGTTTAGCTTCTAGATTCGCCTCACATGAAATGATCGTATTAGGAGTAACACCAAGGTGAAACTGATTGGAAAAAATAAAATAAAAATAAAAATAAAATGAAAGTAAAAATGAAAGAAAATGTTAACAGCCAGGGTCAAGTAAAGGTAAAATTCGAAAAGCCAGTCGAGCTCGCGCCTTGAAAAGCATTGTAGCCGGTGTGCCCATGCAAGGTGTAGTTTGTCGACGAAGGGCTTCCTGGGCAGGAAGAATTGATAGAAGAACCCACAGATGCTTGATTTGAAGTCCCAGTAATAGCAGCCTCATTCTCCTTCCGAGATGTCGCAGTCAAACTAGCAATGAGAGTCTGAATGTGTTCATAGCCCGCATCCAATCGACCACTGAACTTAGCCATGTTGAAATGATTAGCTTCAATACTGCAATTCTTATAGTCTCTAAGGACTGCAGAGTCCTCTTCAACAATCCTGCCCACCGCGTCATTCATCTGCTTGGTCTCGTAGAAACAAAAGACCTCCAAAGAGATATCCCCCCGACGAAGCATAGACTGAAATCCAGTCCCAACTCTTTGCAGGTCGTTCGGCACAGGATTCGTCCCCACAGTCTCTTTTTTTGCTCTATAAGAGGCATTTATATACCTTGCCAGCCTCTCACCATGAGATGCTAATGATGAACCGTGGTGCGGAGTTCCCATGAAGATAATGCCAATAGCATAATATGAGATTTGCCAGAGGCCATCAACCTGAGTACTGAGTATAAGCGCTTGCTGGCATACGAGACCACCAAAGCCATGTGCAATAAATAAGATGGGTCTTGTACAGCATTTTTCTCTTTGGCTGACAAGCGCATAGGCCAGTGATTGGCCGTGGTCGTGTAGTCGATTTGAGGAAGTAATTGTCGAGAGTCCAGCGACGTCGACATCGTATCCAAAGGTCATGATACGTGCAGCAGGGAAGTCTGGGACCAGGAGGTCTTGGGGCCAGCAAGTGCCCTTTTTATGCGTCCATGTTGTCTCGCGGTTGCCAGTTAATCCATGGACAAAGACAATACTAGCCAATGTCAGTATTATTATTTTGTTTGGTCTCTGGGAACTCACTCCAGGCTGGAAATGGACGGATCAGAGAGTATTTCCATACCTATAGCACCCTCTGTAGAGAATCTGTGTGTTGTGAGCTTAGCTCTATGGTCAGTTCTTGGGAATACTTACAGATTCTGATCCGTCGAGCTCCTCCGTAGTCTAACCTTGATGACCTTCATACTGTTGTGACAGAAGAACAGAGATATCAATCTATAGTTTTAGATACCAAGAAAAAAATGAAGCAGGAAGACGGATGAGCGAGGGATGAGATGGGTTTGTTAAGCGCCTGATGCTGCCCAGCTGAGTATACAACCTATACAACCCTGTCTGGAACTGAGACCCCGCTTCTTAAAATATCAACGATGATTCCCACGTCCGCATCAGAATCTAAGCGAAAATTACACGGAAATCTCTTGTGGCTATCAACGAGCGTTTCTGTGAGTAACGTTATATCTCGAGCCACAATGTTGTGACATACCTAGACGCAGACCAGAAGACTCCAAAGACGAGACAATATTTAAAGATATTGAAGAAAATTATCATCAAGTCCGGCATCGTAAATAAGCCTGTTAGGCTGGGAGGTGTTTGGTACATCGAATGATATTCCTGATTTTTGCATAGACCCTCCGAGAGGAATCGTCCGAAACATGAGGCTTTTGGAAACATACAAGCAATGCACTTGCCTTGAGTGGATTTAGGCGAGGTCGTGATGAGAAGCCAATTTCTTTAATCGAAGTAACGTTACCTTTAGACAGGCTCCAAATGGCTGTAGATCTGAAATCCACCTCCCTCTCCATATCCCTTCCCCACCTAAGACGCCATAGGCTCTGCAAGGCGTTGTACAGTTTTATCTCGCCCAGAACGCATTGGACGAAGGGGACAGATATACCAGAGGAAATTCACAGACGTGCTAAATAGGATGACAGGTCCGGATCATCCCGAGAGCATGCAAGGTATGATGCTTCTTGTCGAGTATAGAGGGGTAGGAAAAAGGTCCTGTGAGCCAATCTCTACTGGGTTTTAGCAAAGGGGCTTGAATGATTATTGATTCTAATGATTAATGTTATTACTTTCTTTTCCCACTGACTTTCATGATACCTCGAAGTTTTGACAATCAAATCAAACAATAGCGACAACAACAAAGGGCCTCTCAGGAATACATCTACATCATACCCATGACTCATGACTCAATGTTCAAACACAAACATGTCTCAAAGCAAAACAAAAGCATTACACAAACAGATGGTCATAGACATAACACATGCAAACAAGTATCGGAACTGACTCAAACGTATCTCTTGGTCTGCATGTCCTTTCAATCTTGCCTGATGCCATGGGCTCCTCGCAATTTGGCACTCAGTTGGAATTGTTGCGTACAAACCTCACACCACCACCGGTAGTGAGTCTCAGTCCACGTTTGGCCATTGCTCGAATGACGACAGAGACAAATGTTGAAAACAGAACCTTGACAAAGTAGATGATTGCAGCACCGATGCGAGTATTTTCCAGAAGTTGGAGGGTATAGAAGAAGACACCCACAGGCATGGTGATCAAAATCGCGGGAAGGATGATGCAGAACTGGCAGAGGACTTCATCAAGGGGCGGCTGAAAGGCAAGTTGTTCAAGTTCAGGCGCAAAGCGAGGCATCTTGTCCTCCGATAGAGTCGCTTGGGACACGATGGTGGCAATCACATATTTTAGGTCCTTCCGGGAAGAGCCAGCAGGTTGTTCTCGAGGTCTGTAAATCGCAAATAAGAACGCCATAGAACGAGGGACCTTTTTCTTGGTTTTTCCTGTGCTCTTTGGTTCATCAGCGATGAGAGTGCCAGCTGCGTTTCCCGAATATTCATTAAATGTTGCGTTTGGTAGACTTGAATGGAACGGAGGACGCATGCCAGGCTGATCCCGGGTGCGGGATGCCTGGGCCGAGGCCATATTCATGGGGCTGTGTTGCGGAGAGACTCGATGAGGGGTTGCACGACGGCTAACCTTCCACGTACCATGTTGCTTCTGCCGAGAGGATGCGAGATGGTCCTGCTTTCGTTCAATCGAGGGCAGCGGGCGTTGTGCTGCTGAAGGCGGGATCGGAGAACTAGCAGGAGAAAAACGAACGGATCGCGGCGCCGAGCCAGGGTTGCCAGATTTCTTGAGAGAGCTGACATTTGGGGCTGGGTAATGGTTTGCTAGAGCAGCGATGGGAGGCTTGAGCAGTTGTTGCTGATCGCTCAAAAGACGCACTTTTGTAGGTGTTGGCGATTGACTACTATCACGTCCACCAAAGGCAGAGCGTCCCTTGGGCGAGTCTGTGTCGGGCGAATCTTGAAAGCAGTCGTAATTAAACTCCTCGGTATTCGGCATATCATTCACGCGTAAGTTCTCGGTGGCATGAGGCACCACGGGTTCTTCGTTGCTATCGTTTTCACTGTTTGGTGTAGAGGTCCGTTGGGGGTTCGACGGTTCACCAATGTTGTCGAGGACGTACTTGTCTGTAGCTGCATCCAGAACCAATCGAGGAAAATATCGTCTGGCAGGTAAGCCGAGCGAGGCTTCCTGAAGTCCTCTGAACCCATGCTCTTGCTTCAGACTTGGCTGTTTGGTCATCATCGTGTCAGCTGGTCCATCGAGCCCGAAAGCAGTGAAGGTAGCGAAGGATGGTGAAAAGGGATTCAGATGGGAGCCAGTTTTGACTAGGGTATTGGCAGTGACGGGTACAAAAGAGGATGCAAACAGATCACGAGAGTCAGAGGTGACTCGAGTATCTGCAGTAGAGGTAAACGAAGGTGAAAACAGGTGAGAGTCAGTGAGTCGAGTATCCACGACGCCCAAAGGATCAGACTTGATTAATCTGGCAGAAGGCATGTTGGTGCGAAGGAGGGAGAGAGAAAGAAAGAGAAAGATGAGATCGCCGGGAGAGAGAAATAGATGGTTTCCCAATCGGGAAGGTGCACCTTCCTACTATATTTTGGAGACCAGTGAGGAAAAGAAGAATTGCTATAATTCTACAGATTCAAGGGCAATAATGGTTATGTACAGCAAGTCTATTTGACGAGAGAGTGGAGGGTCTCGAGAACCTAATTCAGTCAGCATTTGGCCGGTTCAAAGTCACCACGATTTCATACCTCAAGCTCAACCTTGGCCTCAGCAATGTCCTGCTCGCTGCCGTTGCCGCTAGCGGTCTTCTGGGACTCAGCAATAAGGGCGCGGATGTTCTATAGGGAAAGGATTGTCAGTCGGAATTGCGACATCGCGAAGGAGGATAATCTACCTCGGCGCTGAACTCCTCAAGGCCAAAGATCTCGGAGCTGTTGATGCTGAACTCGTTGTTGGGCTGCATAACGGCAAAACCACCGGCGGCTATTGAGAAACAGTGTTATTAGCTGATTTGCTCGCATTCAAGGACCAGATTCTCGGGTGATCCCTAGGTACGAGGGTCGGACGTACTGAAGAGCTGCTTAGTGGAACCGTTCTCCTCAACAATCTCGATGAGACCGGGCCTCAGCTGCTCAATGGAGGGAACGTGGTTGGAGAGGACACCCATGTCACCGGAGGCGGCGGGAATGTTGACCTGGGTACTGTGATCGCGAAGGTCGGTCAGTATTTAGGTAAAGGGCAAAAGACGCCGAGGCGGGCGCAAGTCAATGGATAACATACACGCCAGTAGCCTTGTAGATAGTCTATCGAGCAATAATAAAGTCAGTACTTGTGTTTGGATGGGATGACAAACGCGGTTGGTTCACGCACCTGGTGAGGCAGGGTCAGGGACAGCTTAAGGGTGTCGACAGCATCGGCGTAGGTACGTCTGGGGACACGAGCGAGGGGCATAGAGGGGCGGGCAGCCCTCATGGCCGAAAGACCGGAGCGAGCGAGGCGGTTGAAGCTCATTTTGCAAGGGTGGATGACGTGCAAAGGCTGGGTTATCCTTCTTGAAGTTACAGTGCAAAGACGAAGTCGGAATGCCGGTTGTTCCCTAGCGCCGGGTCACGTGGCACGGGAATCCAACGGCCGAAGTATGGCCAAGTCTGAGCTGTGTTTACTCTTGCTTGCATACCTATTTGCAACGAGAATGGAGAAAGGTTCTATTCAATCATCTATCTATATACTCCAGAATTGATATTCCCACCACCGGAATATCTCCAATCAATTGCCTTCTGGTGAGGGTAGGTGCCGCGAACAGGGTGGATGGAAGTTCTGGACACACTTGACACACAATTCCCGAGACTCAGTCAAGATTTCAGGACTTATATGACCATCATATATCCTCTAAGATCATGCGGATGTTCTATGCAGAAGGAGAGCTATATCCATTGGTCCGTCACGTGTTGTATATATCACGTGCTGTGAATGGCAGAATAGAGCCAGTGAAGAAAAAGAAACATCTGCTGCAAAGACCAGCAAAGTCCAGAGGGGGAAAAAAGAAGAAAGAGACAAAGTAGTATTAAAACCAACCTAGCAAACAATAATAACCCAATAACAACATGATATCATTGCCGTATCCTGCTGAAGCCATCTGTCTCTTAGTATGTACACCGCCCGATAAGCGAGATCCCACAAACGGAACGAGCCCTAGCCGAGCCTCTTAGGCCTGACGTCCCAGTTCCCTCTCCTCACCAACCATCCCACCGTCAATCAGCGACAACATCCGTCAAGATGGCCAGTACGTTTCTCCTTCGATCATATGGCTTCTGCTCGCCTGCAAGCCGCCCAAAAAAAAAGAGCGATGTCGCTGACATGATTTTCGCCCACAGAGTCCAAGAACGCGTCCCAGCACCACCGCAGCCAGAAGGCTCACCGTAACGGGTACGTCTACCCTTCAATATTTTCGATGACCCTCTATTGCACTTGAACGACACCTTTCGGTCGAAATTACGGGAAAGGTGGGAAAATGGGTGCGGGCGAACGATTTTATTCGGTGTGATATTCCGGGGTCACATCTTGAATATTCACTCGGACAAATTCTTCGACCTGCTACCACCTACCACCCACCACAACGTCTACCAGAACGAATCGCTGATATATCTCTCCGAACAGTATCAAGAAGCCCAAGACCAACCGTTACCCTTCCCTCAAGGGTGTTGACCCCAAGTTCCGCCGCAACCACCGTCACGCTCTCCACGGCACCATGAAGGCCCTCGTACGTTGACCACAACCCGAACCCAACAAAACTACGCATCCATCCATGACAAATACTGACCCATTGAACAGAAGGAGCGCAAGGAGGGCAAGCGCGAGGTCGCATAAATGTCTAACGGAGTCCGAAAAAATTGGGAATCATGAAACGCAACTCGAGCGCGCAGGAGGTCCGGTGAACATAAAGTGTGCGACGATCAAGGACGGTCCGCTGTGTCGAATAGGCCTGGTTTCTGCTTATTCCTTGCGCGATGAGTCTCGGGTTGTTTGATATCAAGAAATCAACAGGCTTAATTCGATGTGCACAGCGGTGCCATTTCTAAAGCGGAATATCTTCTGCTATTCTTCTTTTCCCGTCATTTCCAGCCTCGTGGGCTCGACTGCTGCGGCCCTCGAGCTTAGTTCTATTTAACCCCTTCCCTTTTCCCCATTTCCCCCTCTCCGGCATATGTGTGTACAGCTGCGTGCCTTTCTCATGCGCGATTGCTGAAGGATTTTTCTTTACGTGCCAAGAACGAATCCCAGACCCTCCTCGATTACATACCCTGTCTTGATGCTTCTCGAAAGAGACAGGGTTCGTGGTTAGGAGGGTTACATCTCGTAGCAGTAACAGTTGTTTGTTTTATGTCTGAATAACCTTCTACTCAATCATACATTCGGTATCTATGATTGAGCATATCATATGTCATTTTTCCTCTCATCCTAGCCGTAATGCGACAAAAGATCCTGGATATATCTCCAGCCATCTATACCTTCCAAACAACCAAGCGCCTATCAAACCCACCACTAATAACCCATTCCTCCTGAACTAGCTCACCATCTCCCCTCGACACAGAAACATACCCAGACCAAACAGTCCGCACCTTACAACCGGGCTCATGACCCCCCTTAAGCTTAGCAATAACCTTACCCGTCTTGGTCTCAATGCCCCGAACAACGCCATCATCCCCATTAACCCAAACCCCAGACCCATCCGGTCTCCACGCGACCTGTGGGGTCGAGTAAGCAGTCTGCGAAGCGAAGGTATTCGCCTGCACGAGGATAGCAGCGTCCTCGCGATTTGCCAATGCCAGAGCCTCCATAGCCTGAGAAGCCTGCGTGACCGGGTCCGCTGAATCTGAACCATTTTCCGTGTCTGATTTGCCCAATGATGGGAAGAGCAGGCGTACAATGATAACCTTCAAATGGGGTAGTGTCGACGTAGCCACTGCCAGGAGGCCCGGGTCGTGCGGACTGAGAGTCATATGGGCTGGCGAGAAAGCAACCCAGGCATTGGAATGAGGCGCTAGATTTTGATATCCGAGAAGTTGGCACTCGCGCGGGGAGGTGAGAGAGGCGGCTTGCTCGGGTGTTTCTTCCACCTGGTAGTAGTGGATATAAGTTGAATCTCTGCGCGAGACGAGGAGAAGTAGTTCGTTTGTATCGATATGAGGTACGAATAGGAGCGATTCTGGGTTCGAGGCGAGCTTGATGCGAGCGGCGGGTTCGCCGATTTTGAGGGTTGGTGCGTGTGCCTCGTCTGGGATGTTGAGGCTGTATAGCACGACTGTCTCGTCCCATCCAGCGGTAGCGATCCACCACTTGGAAGGTTCTTTCTTGTCTTCATAGGCTACCACTTTGACGGCATACTTCCCATGGTCCTTCCTGCTGTCTAGGAGTTGGGTACCATGCTGGAGAAGGATTTGACCTGACATATTTGTCAAGAGGATGTAGCGGCCTTGAAGGATCGAAACGAATGAGAGAACAGGTGCACTCGATAGCTCAGAGAAGGATCTAACAGCTGTATTGTTCCCTGCGGTTTCGAGTACATGCACTTGTTTATCAGCGCCAGTAGATATGATATAGGATTGCGCTGATGTCCCAGCGCCTTCATCAGCGTCATCGCAAGGCTTCTGCCATTGATCTACCGACGCAGCAAGTAGATTTGATGAAGTCGGTGTCTGGATAACAGCAGGTTTTGACGGTGCTAATATTGTCAGCGATAGAACGAGATACAACATCTAAATCCAGACACGCAAAGCTTTGCAACGCGAAAGGAACTCACCTGGGTCACTCCACAAACCAGCCTCTTGACTATCATCTCCATATCGTTCAAAGTTGGCGCTTTGATCATAAGTTTGCTTCTCTTCGAGCAAGCTTTGAATGGTCCAGTTATTGGTGTCGTCGCCGGAGGTCTGCCCCACGTCGGGAGCAAGGCCAGCCTCGCGGATAAAAGCATTTAATGTCTCTGTGTGGTCATTTGTGCGCAAAAATCGAGCAACCAGAGCATTTGCTAATGCATCTACTGTCGCGGAGGGAGCCATACTTGCATTTGATGCCGGGGGAAGTTAGCTGCGGCAGGGAAATGATTAGTTGTCCGTGGCGCTGACCCTGCGCCGCTACTGTATAGATCTTCGAATTCTTGACAACAGCTGTATCCCATGAAAGTCAATACGTTTATTGTTGAATTTAGAGGGTATTACGAAGGGCCTTATAGGCTATTCCATAGAGCAGAGCAGAGTATGTGTTATTATGAAAATTTATCAGACAAATTCATTTTCCCATCCTGTCCGTGAAACGCCGGATACCGAGCATGCAACAGAAACCCCCCCAACAATCATGAAAATGCATAGGTTCAAAGTTCAATCCAATTGTTGCTTCAGCTGAACATGTCCTCAGCACGGCGCCGGCGGCCACCGCGTCCCTCTAGAGTTTCGTCGAACAGTTCCTTGCCAGCGTTGTTGCCGTACTTAGAAGGGAAGAGTTCACGAACTGACGCACCCCTGCCCTTGATCGACATACCCCCAGACGAGCCCCGAATGGCAAAGCCTTGGTCTTCACCAGCTGATCCACGAATGCGCGTGCCTTCGTCCGATCCAGGGAAGAGTTCAATATTGCTGTTGCGACGGTGTTCAGAGTTTCCTGGGATAGAGGAAGCGTCAAACGCATCTGACCGACGGTGATGACTGGACTTGCTAGGCAGCAGTTCCTTCTTGATATAACTCGAGGTAGGCTTGTTAGGGAACAGCTCTCGGTTGCCAGGCTCATTGGTATCGCTCGGGAAGAGCTCCCGACCCTTGTTTCGACCAAGTCGCGGCGACCTCTCGCGGAATCGCCTGCTGTTGTCACCGTCTTCACGGTCGGCTCGCTTTGATTCCTCCAGTGTGTCTCGTCCGGGCGACGCACTGCGGTTGCGGAGACGTCCACTTGATCGTTCCTCGTCTGCTGGGAACAATTCCCTCTGACCGCGGCCTCTCCGGTCTCCTCGGCTCCCTCGCTCAGTGGTACCGGAGCCTGCATTATCACCGTACATATCGACATTAAATTGGTCATCCTCGTCTCGGTCTCGGCGTCGTCTGTGCTCCCGGTCATCGAATCGGCGCCGCCTGTAACCATCGTCATCATCGCTGCGTCTCCGATCCGCAAATTCTTGTCGCAGACGTTCTCGGGGGTCGTGTTCGGGGTGCATAAGGTAGAAGCGACTCTTCTCATAAGAGCGGGCCTGTTTGCGGTCGGTCTTGACAGCCGACCGGACTTGGAGGACGGAGTCGGGGTGGGAGGAAAGGGGTTTCGCGGTTCGCAGGCGCAGTGCAGGCAGAGAAGACGCATCTTCTTCCTCGTTGACTTGGGTGAGAGCCGCGAGAGCTTGGATGCCGACCTCGGTGGAGGAGTAGATGAGGTTGGCGGAGGTGTCATCGATCCATTCAACGCGCACTGGCTCTTCTGCGAAGTGACTGCAAGCGAATTGTTTGATATTTTCCGTAGTCAGTTCATCGACGCCGCGAACATGCACCTTTTCGTAGACCGCCTCTTCGTCGAGCGGATCGAGTGTGCTCTCCACGTTGGGGGCCGACTCCTAGTATTGAACACATGTCAGTGGGCCGAAAAAGCAAATGAGAGCCAAATAGACACATACCATCTGAATTGGCTCGGGTTCGGGCTCGGGTTCAGGTCCTAAGTCAAGGTCCATGTCGATATCCATGTCTGCGACAGGAGCCGTGGGCCCATCGATTGACACGTTCGGGGCGGCCATGACGGATTGTGGGGTGGAGGGAAATTCAAGTGGCTGGCGCGTTCCCAAATTATATAGAACTGACGACTAATCGAGAGCGATGAGCAGATGTGAGCAGAGGTGAAAACCGTGGCGGGAGCTTGAACGTCGCGCGCCTGATAAGGATTAGCGCCTTTTTCCGGGGAACGGCAGTATAAACTGAAATGCGCATATCAGCCCTGTGAGGTATTCATTGATTGTATGATTACTATAATTACTGTGGGATTGACATCAGATAGAGGAATATTCATTGGGTATCTACTTATATACTGGGTTCATCCCAGAGAAAGACAAATGTCCCTTGGTAGAGACAACTGTCAATGGAAGCAGCCGAACCTAAAAGACCTATAATTAGTCCAATTGCTTCTCAATATCAATATTTCGTAGTGAGATCCTCTGTCCTGTGACAGTAGATTTTCGTGCGATCTCTTCGTGTGTTATCGTTTATTTGCACCCTCAAGCCTACTACTATGTGAATACAATACAGCATGTTTAAAAGGTAACTTGGTACATCAAAGCACATTGTTCGCCCATAGGGGATGATATAGATTATCTCTGATATTGTTATTGAATTAGGCACAGCCTAGGAATATAGCTAGCTTATTTGAGTGGAGCTATAGCTTGCTTCCGTTCTTTGCATTCCCATGATCTAGAAACACACTACTATCCTCGCGGTCATGGGGTTTGTAGCTAATCTTTTGCGTATTCTTTCTGGTGGGTTGAGCTCATTACCTCTTTCTCTTTCACTTTGGCTATTGAGGCTTTGGCAAGCTTACATTAGCTATTGATATAGTATCGTTTGTTTAGTTTCTTGATCATGCAGACATGTCTGCCTCCCAAGTAGATCAAAAGATAAAAGAAATACTGGCTCATTCCTCGTCCTCTCAGGCAAATCATTCACCAATATGATATGACGTGGTTCTCCTTTTGGAGACGGAGGTACATCCGTGACATACGTGGAAGATTGAATTTAGGCTAATCCCTCGGTCGACACTGCCTATGATCTCAAAGCGTTTAAAAGTCGGTATCTCCACCTCCACGGTCCTCCGAGTACCGGCAGCTCTGGAGCAAATGGTTCTGGGTTCCGTATTTCCCTGCAGTCGATCTACGGAAAATGCCATCAAAAATAGCCATGGCTCAGCCTTGGTACTACATACGTGGTGAGGGGTACATGTCATTCCTCAATACTTAAAGGTGCTTGAACTGGGCTATTTAACTGTCCAGCTGAAAGCCTTCTCAATCGTGCCATCTTCGAACAAGGACACCACTAGCCACCGCTCACGATTTTCTGTTCATAATGCTCTCTTCCGAAGACGACAAGCTCGTCTTTCGTTTTGACGACCATGTCTTATGGGTTCAGCCATGGGGAGAGAATTCATTTCGCATCCGAGCAACCAAGCAGGCATCAATGCCCACAGAAGACTGGGCCCTCTCCTCCAAGCCCGCAAGCGGAAACACGAGTATCGAAATACCGTTCTCTGACCAAGATGCAAGTATCTCAAACGGCAAGATCAAAGCAACTGTTTCGCGCAGGGGAAAACTCACCATCTACAACTCGAGTGGTAAAAAGCTCTTGGAGGAGTATGCCCGACACAGACAAGACCCGAAGGACCCCAAATGCAGTGCATTAACAATCGAGGCTCGCGAGCTGCGTCCAATCTTAGGCGGAGACTACCACCTCACAATGCGGTTCGAATCTCTTGATCCTAAAGAAAAAATCTTCGGCATGGGTCAGTACCAACAGCCCTACTTGAACCTCAAGGGGGCAGACCTTGAGCTAGCTCACCGAAACTCCCAAGCTAGTGTCCCCTTTGCGGTATCCTCTCTCGGCTACGGGCTTCTGTGGAATAACCCTGGCATTGGACGGGCAGTTCTAGGCACGAATGTCCTGAGCTTTGAAGCATACTCCACAAAGGCACTGGACTATTGGGTTGTGGCGGGCGATACACCAGCCGAGATTGAAGAGGCATATGCCCAAGTCACGGGCTATGTGCCCATGATGCCAGAGTATGGTCTTGGTTTCTGGCAATGCAAGCTCCGTTATTGGAATCAAGAGCAGCTACTCAATGTTGCGCGCGAGTACCACCGTCGCAATGTTCCTCTGGATCTGATTGTCGTTGATTTCTTCCATTGGAAGCATCAAGGCGAATGGAGCTTTGACCCGGAGTTCTGGCCGGATCCTGGTAAGTGCTATACACAGTATACTATCAGGTAGATATCAAACCATGCTGACTTATGTAGATTCCATGATCAAGGAGTTGAAAGAGCTCAAGGTAGAACTGATGGTCTCCATCTGGCCGACAGTTGAAAACGCCTCAGAGAACTTCCCGGAGATGCTCGAACGCGGACTCCTAATCCGCCACGACCGGGGTATGCGCGTAGCAATGCAATGTGACGGCGACATAACACACTTCGACGCAACAAACCCAGAAGCACGAAAGTTCATCTGGAGCAGGGCAAAGAAGAACTACTATGACAAGGGCATCAAAGTATTCTGGCTCGACGAAGCCGAACCCGAATACTCAATCTACGACTTCGATATCTACCGCTACCACGCCGGCAGCAACCTCCAGATCGGCAACACCTATCCCAAAGAATACGCACGCGGCTTCTATGAAGGCATGCAAGCAGAAGGCCAAACGAACATTGTGAACCTACTACGATGCGCCTGGGCCGGCAGCCAGAAATACGGAGCCCTAGTGTGGAGCGGCGACATCGCATCCTCATGGGACTCATTCCACAATCAGCTAGCAGCCGGGCTGAACATGGGACTTGCAGGCATCCCCTGGTGGACAACCGACATCGGTGGATTCCACGGCGGCAACCCAGACGACCCAGAATTCCGCGAACTGTTCACCAGATGGTTCCAATGGGGAGCGTTCTGTCCCGTGATGAGACTGCATGGAGACCGGGAACCCAAGCCGGAAGGACAGCCTACTGCCAGTGGAGCGGATAATGAGATCTGGTCGTATGGAGAGGAGGTGTATGAGATCTGTAAGAGATATATTGGGATTCGGGAGCATTTGCGGGATTATACACGGGGGTTGATGCGGGAGGCTCATGAGAAGGGGACGCCTGTTATGCGGACTTTGTTCTATGAATTCCCTGACGATGAACGTGCCTGGGAGGTTGAGACTCAGTATATGTTCGGGTCTAAGTATCTGGTTGTGCCGGTGTTGAAGCCGGGACAGCGTGTCATCAAGGTCTATCTTCCTGATGGGGCATCGTGGAAGGTATGGGGTGGCAAGGACGATGCCGTATATCAGGGCGGTCGAGATGTTGATTTCGACTGCCCGATTGAGAGCATGCCTGTCTTTTGTCGTCAGTAGATGGGCTGCCAGTTCGGGACCTTGGGAGATTTGAGTTACAGATTGTTACTAGATCTTAATTGAGAACAAGCTATTGAGTTTGTCACAGCTTCCGTGGAACGATATTGAAACAATCAAAAGCTCTCACCGCATTGTCAGATTCTCCTGTCTCACCTCGTATACTTCGTATATGAACGACAGATGCCTTGGGCATCTACTGCAAACCCCGAACCAAGGACCAGCACATCAGATCTGCGATCTGCAATCCACATGCAAAAGCAAACTCAAAACAACCCAAGAAATTGAGACATAAACAGCCCCATAAGCCCCATAACCAGGAAAACCATAACCCAGCAACCTTCTACGAAACCTTGTACCCCTGACAAGCATCAGAACCACGGATCACGGCCCTCGAACAGGAATATGGAGAACCGCGCAGACATTCCACCTAAGAAGTGAGACATTCGGGAAACCGAAGTAAGCTTTCAGGAGGAGAAAGATCTGAAGCCAAAAAAAAACAAGGCAAGGGACAAAAGAAACAGGAAAATACGATGGATCCCGACAGACGGGTACCTTTTCACGCTAGTCTGTAATGGACGTTAGCGTCGATGGCACCGAGATTCTCCGTCCGCCAATCAGAGCTTGTATTTGACTATACTGGGTAGCTGTATTGGTGATTGTGTATTAGGGCTGGGAATAGTGTACGGGCACAATATTAGGGTTACTCTACCATTTCGCGCCGGGTAAATCCCTTGATCGCGATAAATACGCATCAGCGAATCGTGATCCAGAGAAAAGCACATGTTATGCGCAGGGTACGCCGATACAGATCCCGATGCCCGGAATTGAGCGCGCCAAAACAGCTCTATAAGGCGATTGTGGCTGCCGATCACAGGGAACCGGCGGCTTGGGACGCAACGGGCAAGTGTCAAAATCAGCGATGCCGATGCCATTCCTGAAAGGTGTGTTCTCCGTACAGAATGGAGAACCCCTGATCCTTACCTTCCTGTCCCACGGTTATCCCACTCTCCACCCCTATGAACCTTGACAACGTCCCCTTTTTGTGGCAGTCGACCGTTTTTTCCGTTCCAAGGACGCCTACGCCGTACACAAGACTCCGTATATGACATCAGAGGTTTCTCCCGTTGGGCTCCACAATATGCCGTGTGACGGGGGTTACAGTACGGAGTACAGATGGACATGTACAAGGATTCCAAATACTTGGGGACCTGGCAGCGCTTGCAGGGATATCAATTTGTTTAGCTTTGATATCGATGTGTTGCATGCACAGTGTAGTACGGCCTGAGTGATAGTTTCTGATCACGCTATTAGGTTTGGTTGCGATCACACTGAAGGGCAGAATGCTCGATCTGATTCGGTGGATTTATGGCTCAGCTCCCCATCAGCCGATGGTGGCTTACACAATTCAGGTTGGCATACGACCCTCTTTTGTCATTCTCGTACAGTCTTCTCTCGCACAGGGTACCCCCGCCCATACAGGATGGTGGAGCTGAATATCCCGTGTAGTGTCACAGAATCTTGCGCGCGATAGGGGGTTTTCCGACGGATGGGTCATTGGGTGGATATGAATGTAAGTTACTGTATGTCGACGCAAATGTGCGACTCAGGGCGGCAAAAGAAAAAAAAATGAAACGAAACGAAACGAAACATATGAAACAGACACGGCATGTACGGAGCACCAGTATTAGTATATGCATATACGGGTACAGTCTAGACAGGCCACACAGATGGTAAGTAATAAAAGACAACGCATGTCGGCTGTTGTCCAGATCCAGGGCAATCCATCTCAACGGCCCAAAACGCCCTCGCGGAAAGCGGGAAATCGCGACCCGGGCGAGAGGCTTGCATGCACGAACACCTCCACGATCCATGCAAATCCCCATCAGCCCCGCCGTTCATTCCGGTGACCAGTCCGGTTGCTACATCGGCCGCGCTAGTCCTGACGATTGGATAGAATCACCCGTCTACAAGGCTGTATAGCGGGAACAAGAGAGGGGGTGGCCAACGAACTACTGTACACTGGCGTCCTAAGGGGCAAAAAGGCACAGAGCAGGGTAAGAGAAAGAGCGCGCAAGAGGCTAAAAGTGGAAATCAAGCCGGTGTGGCGCTGGACAGACACGATCACTGGCCTTCGGGCTCCATGCGTCAACCAACCCATTCATCCACCTGTTACTTTTTACAATGGAAGTAAGCAGGAGTGGAGTTAAAACGTCAATCATAACCAAGATCGGGATAACGGAGAAGCACCGTTTGATTCCCCGACGAACCTCTTGAATAAACTTCCTTTTTCCTTGGAATATACAGTATTTAGCGTGTGCATATGCATTACGTCCCAAATCCTCTTTAGTCTGGATGCATATTGTAGACGTACAGATAGACCTAGGCCTTTACATTGTAACTTACCTTGTACATCGTACATGGTGGGTCTGGCTTGGGCCTTGGCCTGAACTCCCTTGCGTCCGTCCTCGTGAACACGGCGTGTCTGGTGGCGCATTCCTCATGGGGACCCGTGCTAAGAAGCATTCTTTGTAGGAGGTACCGTATGGCTTTATTATGGAACATGCTTTTGGCAACGTAGGACCAAGTCTAAAGTGTAAGAATATAGTTTACAGGCGCTATCAAGTGCACCAAGGCAAATGGTTCATTAGAAGCAAGGTATTAATGCCGTTCCAAATATGGAATATAGCATGGAGCGCCTAGTTATCTCCATTCCTAACACACCAATTACAGTCACTGGAAACCAGAGTCCGAAGGGGAAAAATGATTTTGAGGATCAGAATCATGGTAATACACATTAAGAATATACAAAAGGAAATCGTAATAGCTCCCATCAAAATAGACACAAGAAAAAGCGAGCGCGAAGCTTTTGACAAATATACAGTACAGGCATCCATCAACGGACCCGAGCGCGAAGGGGAATCAAGAGTATAGGACAAGTAGGAAAAGGTGAGAAATGAAACTCGTCACAATCATAAAAATGGAAGGGTTTTCGGTGTTGCTTTTAGTTGAGCAAGCTGCTGACACCCATGCGGGTATCACGAGCAGGCTCGGCTCTGGCAGACATCCAGGACTTGGAGATGTCTGTAGGCTGATGCCAGGAAGCCAGAGTGGGTTGATGGGCCATCCAGCGCTTTGAGGCCATGTCGGAGAGCGATTCGAGAGCCCGGGTAGGGTAGCTGGGCGAGTCTTCCACAACGTGCACGCTTGGCCGGCGGATTTCGTACTGGGAACGCAAGTCGACTGGCAAAGGTAGGAGTTGAGGAGAGGGAAGAGTGCGGGGCGAAGAAGAGCAGACGGAGTTCTGGTCTGAGATCATGGAAGGAGGGTCGCAGGAGGTAGCGTTGGAGACCTCGGAGAAAGCGGGCGAAGTCAAGGGAGTTTCGATCGGTCGGTTGATAGAAGGCAAGGTGTAGATGGGAGACAATTGGCGGGGCGCAGAAACCAAAGACTCTCTGCGGGAGTGGGAGTATTGCTCAGAAATGGCAGACTCGATTGAGTCGGTCCATGAAGGGCGAGAAGAAGAGACGGAGAAGCGAGAACGAGAAGGGCTCGTCATTGAGGCGCGGTTGTAAGGGGCCTCGATGCGGCCGCTATAAGTGCGGGAGGTAGTGGGGGTGGACAAGCCACGCTTCTTGCGGTTCATGCTTCCATTCCACCAGTTCTTGACGGCGTTGTCGCTGCGGTTTCCGAGGCGGCGGGCGATCTCAGCCCAGCGCTTTCCCATTTCATTGACCATGCGCTCGATCATCAGCCCCTCATCGGCGGAGATAGGCTCTCGGTTGAGCGAGGGCTTCAAGTTTTGGTGGAAGCGCTCACGACATTGCTTGGGCGAGCGGTAGTGCATATGCTGAGAGATGCGAACCCAGTTGTTAGGTCCTTGTTCACGGACCAGTTGGACGAGAAGTTGGTCTTCCTCGGGAACCCAAGGACCACGGCGATGTGAAGGAGGCATATTATGTGGAAAGAAGGTAGATGGAGAGGAGAGGTGAGAGTCGAAGTCAAAGTGTTGTGAATGGAGTAAAGTAAGGCGGGAGACAAGGTATATAAAGATCAGAAACCAGGGGCACGGGTCAGGAAAAGAAGATCAACCAAGATCTCGGAGCTGACAGTTCGGAACAATACCAGACCTGAAATACCAAACTATTGTAATCTATAGATCGTGGGGTGTGGAAAAATGCTCCGTTGGGATCTTCAGTACGACCCGGGAATCCGGGCTGAGGAAAACAGCGTTAAACCGGTAAGGATCGGACGTGATCGACCCTGAGCCCCGTTGCTGGAATTCCAAATCATTCTTTATTCTTTTATTTTATTTATTTTATTTTTATTTGATTATTATTTACTTCCTTTTACCCTTTGAGAGCGTTTGATGTTCCCAGGGTTGTGGTATGAAAAAGGACATTCCGATAGTGCCTTATACTTGATAGTATAAGATAGTACAGTATAGAGTAATCTATTCAACTTCACTTCAACTTCACTTCAAGTTCAACTTCACCTAGCCGTATGCTGTATATCCTACAGTATACATTATGCACGGTACGTCCAAGCGCCTCTAAGAAAGGGGTATACCTAGTAAGCCAGGGGCAGATCTGGCTTCCGAACTGACAAGCGACGTCCCAGATTCCCCTCAGCCAGCCATGCACAACACTTTGCGACACGATGCCCCCCCGATCGACGTTCATCGGTCATGTCCGAGCTACCATTGGCTTGATCGGGATTCTACTTCCTTATGGTGATCCCACAAGTGGGGGAGTGGAGGTCTGACAAATTCTGTCGGTCTCCGTCCGTGAAGATATACATGCTACACACAGGTAAAATGTTTGGATTTCAATAGTATGGGGAAATCGGTGGCTCTGATGACAGGAAGCTTCGACCCCCGAGCAACGCCGAAGCCACATCTCACTCCCTAACCCGGCACTGTGGGTAGACGATTCTCTGATTTCATATTTCATCCCTGGTGTTATGATGTGCCTTGCATGTCCCGCCAATCACCGGGTCAAATA